TTTTGAAAAGTGTTTTAAAGTGTAATTCTTGCATCTTCATCCCATTCTAGGCATTCCTAAGCCATGTTTAAAGCATCTTAATGAGGATAATGTTATAAAACCACGTCGAGTCAAGTTAAAGGGTTGAGTTATTAATCCCAAGTGTGTAACTTAGTGTGTGTTCGTTCTACAACTGTGTAGGGTTGGCACCCGAGGACGCTGACTAGCCTGTCTTTAGCCCAATGCTTTGTGAGTAATAATGTTGTAAAGATACGCTCAATTATAATTATTTCTGAACGATTGATTGTACTGCTTTCTGAAATGGCATTGTTTACTAAATGAATGTTTATCCTATTTGTGAACTGTATTCGTGGCATTCATAGCAACTTACTGTTACTGTACTGTTACTGCTACTTTTACAAAGATCTCTGTCAGTTCCAATGTTTGGAACTTCCACTCTTTACTGTTTTGATGGCTATCAACTGACTGATCGGTCTGTTAAGACCTACTGTACTGTTTTGCTATTGGATGTACCACATATGACTACTATGGTTTTTAAATAACTGTTATGGCATGAAATATGAGCCACTGATTGAATAACTGATCTACAGATGCAATTGACTGTTTTAATTACTGAAAGGACATTCATTCTTAACCCCTTTACGCATTTGTTATTCACTAGGCTTTAGCTCACTGTTTATATTTATATGTAGGTGTCCAGGCACCGGACCGAAGTTAGGAGCATCAAGTTAAGCTCTTGTTTTGTCAAACCAACCATCGTGCCTTACTTCGAGGTTCCGAGTCCGTTCAAGCTAAGTTTGTTTTGGGGTGTTCAGGATCACTCTTTTGTCTCTGTTTTGTACTGACAGAATAAGGCTTGACTGTACAGTTATAGTTAGAGATTTGGTCCCTAACCTGGATGTCATGTATATATATGACGTATGTATATATGTTTTGTTTATCAATGTGGCTTGTACATAAAGTCTTTTTGCATTTAGGTTTTCATAGCTCACTGGACATCTTTTATTTACTGTTTGGTTTCCGCCAGCCCCTTTACTCTGTATTACTATCATTACTGTTAAGCAGGCCTTCGGTAATCACGGATTACTGGCCGGTTGCAATGCTAAACCCATAGGGGCGGGTTTGGGTCGTGACAAAGATATGTTGATTCCAGCGGCCAAGAAAAGTACCTAGAAAAGGGGGCAGAAAACGGTTCCTGCAGTCCCTCAGCATAGCGGGACCAAAGGACATTCTCACCGGCCTTCGCAGGAGGTCAGGTATGGAGAATCCTAGAAGACACGATCTCGGCCTAGATGATTAGGTCCGAGAAGAGAAGAGCTCAGCCTAAAGTGAGCAAATCCCAAATTCCAACAAACAAGAGACCAAGGTCATGTTTAACACTTGATGAAATTTTAAATTTACAAGTTGAAGTTAAACTGAGGTCATGTTTAACACTTGTTGAAATTTTAAATTTACAAGTTGAACTTAAATCGAGGACGTGTTTAACACTTGTTGAAATTTAAATTTACAAGTTGAAGTTAAATCGAGGACATGTTTAACACTTGTTGAAATTTTAAAGAAAAATTTATAAGTTGAAGTTAAACTGAGGTCTTGTTTAACACTTGTTGAAATTTAAGAAAAATTTACAAGTTGAAGTTAAACCGAACTCATGTTTAACACTTACTGAAATTTTAAGAAAAATTTACAAGCTGAAGTTAAACCAGGGTCATGATTAAAGGAAGGAATGATATAGGTTCCATCACCTCAGGATGCCGAGGTAATAGAACTTAAGGGGCAGTTGTTGGGACATAATTTTTGAATGACAACACGTGGCCGAGGTGTCGCCGAAATGCCAACCGAGGTGCCACATGTCTTGGTCATGACACCGAGGTGATCTCGGCTGGGCCGAGGTTATCTACGAAGAAATCGGAATCCGGGATAAGCGGATAAGAGACAAGAGTTCTAGAATGAGAGAGGACTTCAGTTTGGATAAATATAAGACTCTTAGAGAGTTTATCCCAATCCTACTGAGAGTCCAAGATTAGCAGTAATCTTAAGTCCATTGAAGCTAGGCTTCTATTGGGATTAAGTAAGTGTTGGCTATAAAAGAGAGGCACCCCTATGGGTCTAAAGTATGCTTTTTATGCTCTGAATAGTGAGTTAAGCACTTTTGCTATCTTTGAGAGATAACTGACTTGATCGTCGGAGTGCCCCCGAGTGGACGACCACCGCGAAATCTTCTTTTGTGACATGTCGTTCGGACTTAATTTATTCTGCCAGTGTTCTCTAGCTGATGCTTGATTGACAGTGTGGTCGGAAATTGACACACACAGGACCTTTACATTGTTTACTAATAGTTATGAGATTGGAGCCATATTTTATAAAATTTTTATGTTACAAAAACCTTACCTAGAATTATAGATAGATTTTTTCCTATTTGATAGTTAAACAAAAAAAATCTTATTTGATAATAATAATAATAATAATAACAATAACAATAATAATAAATAAATAAATAAAAGAGGGATAATTACTCATCTCCCTTGGTTTAAACAAATTACACCCAGTATCATTATGCATTATTCACATGATATTCTAAGTTACTATCATAGGTTGGTAGCAAAAAACAGATAGAACATGATTATTTACCTTTCTTAAGTAGTTGATAGATAAAGGATAGGATGACACACTTACGGATTGTTGGAGATAATCTAAATAAGTATATTTATTTTGAGTTGTATTACCTTTCTATTTTTTGAACATCTTTTTATAAAAAAATTCAAAAAATACACTGAATAAGTAAATCCCAAAGAACCCTCAGAATGAGTTTGAGATTCCAATAAAAAGTTACATTTTTTTTGAATTTTTTTTTTTTTAAACTTTTCAAGTTTTTCTAGTGCAGGATAATCTAAAAAGTATAATTTTTTTTATTCTTTTTTATAAAAAGATTCACCAAAGATAAAAATAAAATAAAGTATATGATCATTTGTCACACTTTTTGTATCATGCGATCTATATATTTTAATATGCAATTTGTTTAGTAATATGATACAAAGAATGTGTGGGGGGAGGGGGGTACAGATTATGAATGTGGTGGGGGTTGAGTGATAAGTAAGTCTACGTGCAATTTGTTAATGAATTAATAATATGGCAATGAATTGTGCTCCCCCAAAGCCTTGCAAACAATGAAAGCTACTAATGAATTTTAGCTTAAAAAAATTCACTCAATTGGACCTTTACATTGTTTACTAATACTTATGAGATTGGAGCCATATTTTATACATTTTTTATGTTACAAAACCTTACCTAGAATTATAGATAGATTTTTTCCTATTTGATAGTTAAACAGAAAAAATCTTATTTGATAATAATAATAATAATAATAATAAATAAATAAATAAAAAGAGGGATAAATTATGCTCATCTCCCTTGGTTTAAACAAATTACACTCAATATCATTATGTATTATTCACATCATATTCTAAGCTACTATCATAGGTTCGTAGCAAAAAACAGGTAGAACATGATTATTTACCTTTCTTAAGTGGTTGATAGATAAAGGATACGATGACACACTAATGGATTATTTGGGAATAATTTAAATAAGTATATTTATTTGAGTCATATTATCTCTCTATTTTTTTAAATATTTTTTTTATAAAAAAGTCAAAAAATACACTAAATAAGTAAATCCCAAAGAACCCCTCCGAATGAGTTTGAGATTCCAATAAAAAGTTACATTTTTTTTTTGAATTTTTTTTTTTAAAAACTTTTCAAGTTTTTCTAGTGCAGGATAATCTAAAAAGTATAATATTTTTTTTTTAATAAAAAGATTCACCAAAGATAAAAATAAAATAAAGTATATGATCATTTGTCACACTTTTTGTATCATGCGATCTATATATTTTTTGTAACCATTGATTTTAGTAATATGATACAAAGAATGTGAGGGGGGAAAAAAAATTGAGACAGATAATGAGTGTGGTGGGGGTTGAGTGATAAGTAAGCCCATGTGCAATTTGTTAATGAATTAATAATATGACAATGAATTGTGATCCCCCAAAGCCTTGCAAACAATGAAAGCTACTAATGAATTTTAGCTTAAAAAAATTTACTCATTTGGACCTTTACATTGTTTACTAATACTTATGAGATTGGAGCCATATTTTATAAAAAATTTATGCTTACAAAACCTTACCTAAAATTATAGATAGATTTTTTCCTATTTGATAGTTAAAAAGAAAAAAATCTTATTTGATAATAATAATAATAGTAATAAATAAATAAAAAGAGGGATAAATTAGGCTCATCTCCCTTGGTTTAAACAAATTACACTCAACCTTATTGGAGGGGGCAAATTGAAAATATATTTTACCACAATTGTAAAATTAATTATTTTCAAATTTCCAATGGGGCAATTTTTTTATCAGTTTTGATTTAGGCCTTGTTTGTCGTGTACTAAAAAAGTTAAAAAGTCAAAAAGTCACTATCCTATTTAAGTCATATCATCTTATTTAAGTCGCATCACCTTTCTACCACATCACTTCAAACTCATCCCAAACTCAACCCATATTTCATAAAAAGTAAAAAAATACACTTATTTAGAACATCTCAAACCATTCCTAAATTTGAATCTCTAAAAGGATCACTAATGAGGTGGTAGTGTAAAGAAAAAAAATAAAAATAAAAGTCAAATTATCACATCAATGCTGGGATCCCCATGATGTCATGTCATTAGTGGTGTATTAGTGGTGCTAAATTAGTAACATGAAGCATTTTTTTTTATTTATTTATTAATATTTGAAACACAGTTCCTTAGGTGGGCCCCAGGCCTGTCAAGGCCCTAAATAATAATACACAAAATCCAAAATCCAAAATTTGAAAATCTATTTTTCATTGATGATTCATGTTGAGAACCTATTATTGGGCCTATTTCTGGCAACCATGCAAAACATAAGCAGTTCACCTAGTCAGACCGCCCTGTTTGCGTTCGGTCCAGTTCACGCGATGGTCCGGATCAGCTTGCATCATCCAGATCTGACTCCTTCCGAATTCGGGTCGGTTAGATTTGTCAGTCCTGCCCAGTTATACCGACCCATATTGTTTTTGCATCCCACCCAGATAGCTAGCTCCAAATCCAATAGGGTTTACTGTAAAACTAGGGTTTTGTGAGTGAGGGAGGGAGAGAGAGAGAGAGAGAGTGTGTGTGTGTGTGTGTGTTTCAGATCTCCAAAACAGTGCGTTGAAGACCTTGCCACGGAATCGTAGCACCTTCCTTCTTCAGTGTTCTCTGCAAGTCCCTCCATCCCAACTCTGCCTCAAGGTAGGGAACTCTCTCTCTCTCTCCTCCCCCCATGTGCAATCCCCGCCTCCCCTATCTTCGAAACCCTAGGCTTAAACTCAAACCCCCTTCTGGATCTTGAATTTTATATTTGAACTATCCTTGTGGTGCGTGGGTTTCTAAAATAAGGGAAATTAGATGTGAATGATTTGTGTTGCTTTTACATGTATGTTTGTTTGTTTGATTTGGTGGTTGTTTTGGTTCCATTTTCATGTTAACTCTCTGCTTTTATAAATCCAATATTTATATCTGGAATAGAATTGTATGTTACTACTTTGAATGTAATGCAGTAGAAGAAGTAGGAAAACAAACTTGGAACATGGGCTTCACTCCCATTTCCCATTTGATGGAATTTAGGAATTTGCGCAATGAGTTAACGACAAAGAGGTTATTTCTTTGTACAGTGTACATGTATATAGTGTTCTCTTCATCCATATTACACATTCCATGACCTCCCCTTCAACCCATATGTTGGGTAATTGAATTTTATACTGGTACTATGTAAGTGATATGAGAGTAAAAAATGGTTTGAGACTTTCAAAATAATATAAGGTCTAAGATTTCTCCCTGGAGTAAATTAACAACTGTTTGATGTTTGCCATTTTAATAAAATTCAATGAAATTCTCTATGGTTCTTTGAAATATTGCAGTTTTATTTAGTTTTTACAACTTTTGAGAGTGACTTGACTCTTGACCACTTTTTTAGAATGCATTGCTATCTACATATTTGTTTGATTTGGTTCTAAATCAATTTGTAGATGTTGCTTCTTTGCAACCATGTCAACACTAGGTGCCTATGTGGCATGCCATGAAAAATAGCCTCTCTTTTTTTTCTTTTTTTTTTTTAAAAAAAAAAAATGTACATAGCATTTTCGTTTTGAAAATCAGTTTAGATAGTTTGAATGGCTAACTAAAATAAAGTCTTGTTGGAGTACACATTAGCTAGAGTTGTTTGGCAAAATAGAGAGTGCAATTTTTTGTGTACTTAGGCAAAATGCCTAGAAGTGTGAGTTTTTTCTTCTCTTTCTCCCTTACCTGTGCAAGGAACTAAACAGTACCTTTACCTCTTTCTGCTTCTCAATCACTCCGTATTCATGTATATACTGGTGTCTTAACCTAATTGTTTTCCTGTGCTTTTTTGCAGTGATGGAGGCAGAGATAGTGGCGAAACCGCAGGCTGTGAATCCATGCTGTGTTGTGGTATTGATTTATTTTTAATTCTGGTCATACCATTTTTGTAGTTATTTTTTTTAATATGTGTTTTGTATGTGCAGTTGAAAGAGAAATACTCAAAGCTGGAAGCCTCACGGAATGCTCTTCGACAAGGTGTAAAGATCCAAAATGAACTCATTGATAAACTTCAAAAAGAAAGCCTCAATTTTAAGAAAGGTAAAACCAAATCCAAATGTGTTTTAGCAACCCTTGCTTTTGTCACTTGGTTGTGGTATGTATGAGATGTTTGAGAAAGCAAGGGATGGAAAATTGAGAGAAATGCATAGAGAAATGGAAAAAGGAGTGAGGTGTATATATAGATCAATAAGCTTACAAACTTCAACCTATTTCTCTTGATAGGTAGCCCCACATTTATGCTTTATTTGGTTTATGCATTTGTTGAGGGAAATAGAAAAGAAAATACAAAGGAAATCTTTATTTTTTGTTTGGTTACCATAAAACTGATGGTGAATAGGAAAATATGATTGAAGTATGTGGAAATTTTTTATTTCTTTTTAGATATCATTTCTCCTTCCCTTTTTCGTGATTTCATAGAATTTGTTTTAATCTGTTGTTTTACAAAGTCGGGGTGTAAACATGAAGGTAAATGGGTTTTCTTTTTCTCTTAGCAATTCCAAGCTCTGAACAAAGCTTCAGTGGAACAATCCATCTTAAATTCTGTCAGTCCCCTTAAATTTTTTATGGTAATGCCTCGTGAAATTAAGGTCATATGGTACCTGAGGCTTCTGCTTACAGTCAGATTTGGGCAAGAGTAGGTATGTAGCCTTACCCCACTTTTTAGGGAGAGGCTAATTCGCCATAGCTCTAGGGTGGATAGCACTTGTTATCACACCAGCTTATGACCTGTAAATACCATACGAAATCAAGAATCTAAATTTGGAGGTGCCAAAATATTAATTTTTCTTGCACCCTCCACCTACTGTTGAGGTGACCTTGAATTTCACTAGTTCATTACAATAAGATACAATGTTCATCCTTTAAGTAAACCTTTGCGTGCTCCAACCATTATTGGTCAATCTGCTACTTGCAGCAAATCTGTAGAACCTCTGTTTTTCTAGCTTTGTGATGGTTCCATAGGAAAACCTATGTTCTGCCTATATATATATATATATCTGTGTGCACGCATTTGTGCGTGATCTTGCTTGATGTAAGGTCAATGAGTTTATGATGGTCAAATGCATATAGGGATGCACATCCCTAGAAAAAGCTTCATCCATAGTAATTGGTGAGTGACGTTGACTTCCACTTGATATTGTCTAAAAAACTTTGAACTTATTTTCTGATGAGTTGCTGTCTTCAGTTTCATCTTTAATAATAAAATAAAATTCATCGTCTCACCTGTCTGTTTGTAATGTTATCTATCCTCTTAAGTCACATGAACTTAGACAATTGAGATAACGTCTTGCTGTGACATGTTGACATAATACTGATCCCCATTGTGTTTTTGCATGGAAAGTTCAGAAGTACAATATATATGGAAGAGAAATGCCAATTTTGATGCAATGAAATCTGTGAGCATATGTATGTTGATTTTTATGCTTGGGTTTACATGTGATGTGTAAATTTACCATATTTTTGCAGATACAGAAATTGAAGGAAATTTATACTAGTAGATTAATAACATTTTCCTTTTCTTTATTGTGACATTTCTTTTCCAGCATATGAGGAGGAAAGGGTGCAGGCTGATGCTGAAAGGCAGGAGAAAGCAAACGAGTCAGCTATTCGAGTTTCATTGGAGAATGAGATATCCTCTCTGAAGTCTGAGATACTTTCATTGCATCAGAGAGGGGGCTCACTAGCTCAAGATGTGGATGGGGAAGTAATTCTTCTTCGAACACGCCTTTCTGAAATGGAAACGGAAATAAAACGGTTTGAGGAGCTTGTCAAGAAAGAGAGAATGGAAACAGATTCTGAGAGGAGAAAAGCTGATGCTGAGAGGAAGGAAGCTAATGAAGCACGGAAAATTATGAAGGCAGAAAAAAGTAGGGCTGCTGAAGTAAGGAGACTTGCTGATATTGAACGAAAAAAGGTTGAGGAAAATCGAATTCAGTTGGAGAAGTTAAAGAGTGAAGCCGATGAAGCAAGATCAAAATTGGTTTTGGAGGCATTCAAGTCTGAAGAGGCAAACAAAAAGATTCAGGCAGAAAAGCAAAAGGTGATTAAAGAGAAAAAACGTGCAGATTCGAAGAGGGCCAAAGTGGAAGAGCTAAGGAAGCTTGTAGAAATTAATCAGAAGAAGGCCATGGATGAAAAGTGTCGTGCTGATAATCTGTCTCAGCAGGTTGAAGAGCATAGACAAGGGATTGAGAGATTACGAAAGGAGATAGATGAACTTGTATCCTTGAGAAAGTTGGTTGAGGCTCCTGATGACCTGTCTGATAAATGTATGAATGATGAAACTGCAAAAGTGAAAGGTGGGTTTCCGGCAGGAAAAAGTAGTGCTGCTGAAGAAAGGAGACTTGCTGATATTGAACGAAAAAAGGTTGAGGAAAATCTTATTCAGTTGGAGAAGTTAAAGAGAGAAGCCGATGACGCAAGATCAAAATTGGTTTTGGAGACATTCAAGTCTGAAGAGGCAAACAAAAAGATTGAGGCAGAAAAGAAAAAGGTGATTACAGAGAAAAAACGTGCAGATTCAGAGATGGCCAAAGCAGAAGAGCTAAGGAAGTTTGCAGAAATTAATCAGAAGAAGGTCATGGATGAAAAGTGTCGTGCTGATTATTTGTCTCAGCAGGTGGAAGAGCATAGACAAAGGATTGAGAGATTACAAAGGGATATAGATGAACTCGTACCCTTGAGAAAGTTCGTTGAGGCTCCTGATAAATGCATGAATGCTGAAGCTGCAGAAGTGAAAGGTGGGCTTCGAACGGAGATATTAGAGAGAGAAGCTGATGAGTCGAAGTTGGTTTTGGAGTACTTAAAGTCTGAACAGGTAAACAAAAGGCTCAAGGAAGAAAAACAAAAGGTGATCAGAGAAAAAAAGCGTGCAGATTCCGAGAGAAGGAAAGCAGAAGAGCAGAGAAAGGTTGCAGAAACAAATAAGAAGGCGGCCATGGAAGAAAGACATCGTGCGAATCAGTTAGCTCAGCAATTAGAGGATAATAAGCGAAGAATAGAGGAACTACAGGAAGAGATATTGGAACTTGTGTCCTCTAGAACATTGGTTGAGGCTCCTGCTGTTCTGCCTGATAAAAATATGAATTCTGAAACTGCTATAATGAAGCTGCAGGGAAAAAAACTGAAGTTTAAAAAGAAACAAGTAAAACATGCAAAAAAAGTTACTGAGTTTGAAATATGTCGTAATAATATACTACAACAAGAACTATGTTGCTTAAGGCAGGGTTTTGTTCAATTTTCGCATCGCCTGGATGTACTAAATAACTACTTCTCACATCGGGGTGAAGGTAGTGATGACCTGGTAAAGGTCGGTTTCTCTTTTGCTTATTATTCATTTAAACTATCTGAACATACTTGAATTAAATTTTTGTTGATTATTTGATAGGTACGGAGATGTCATTTATCAATAATAGTCTATAGCATACAGGGTTCTAGTGTTTGTTATTGGACTATATTTTGGTTGAGTTTACTCAGAAGCAAGTTAATTGAAGTACATAGGTATTTGACTGATTGCTGTTTAGCTTTTAATCTGATGGGTGAGTAATCCAATCAGGGCTTATGCTCTTATAATTCATCATGGACTTGCTTGTATATGTATTTTAATAAATATTAGGAGATAGTTATTTGGTTGAAGATTATAAATAATGCTATTCATATGTAGCTGTTGTCAGTCAAGTTTTGCAGCCTGAGAATATATAGTTTCAACTTTAAATACTTGAGTTATGTGTTGCGTACTTATTCATCCTATTTTCTGTATTCTATGCAAGTGATTAGATTTCGATATCTTATGCTTTTTTATTTTTTCTCCTTCCTTGAACCAGAGCATACACAAGTTTCTTCACATGGTATTTACTTAACTACTTGTCTAATTTTTGCAGACTGGCAACATCTTTAATACTCCAAGCTTAAACTTGAGGAGGGAACGCTTCAGTAAAAAGCAGCGCACTAATGAGCTTATAAAGCCTATTTGCACAGCTATGGATGCCTCTGATTTTATCAAGCAAACCATAGAACGTACTGCACCATCACTTCCTATTAGTGGAGGAAATTGTACTCGATGCATTTCAGGTATTGATTCTAAATTGGAGCCTCTGATTAGAGGTTCTAACAGAAAAATGTTACAGCGTTCTGCCATAAATTCCAGTACAGCATCTTTTTCTGATAGACAATTGACGCGCTCACAGGAAAGAGGTGCTTTTTCTGTCACCACATCAGCTAAATTGGCAGAAGAGAAATCGAATTCACAACCAAACGTTTCCAGCTTGTCTGGTGAAGTTACCAAAACGAGGTATAATGAAAATCTGGCAGTGGTGGCTGAAAATAGTGTCAGAAGTCCTATTAGCACTGATACTGTTGGGAGGGCTGGGCATAGTAAGAAGAGGAAGAGGATCCTCGATGCGGTTAAATCCGTTGAACATTTATATTCTGAGGGTAAGGAGTGGCATCTGCGGATAGAGGAGAAGTTATCCATGCTGCATGGTATATTAAACAGTCAAATGGACAAATCCTTGCAGGAGGAAAGATGTGGGGTACCTTACCTGGAATGTGATCTCTATGCTGAGCAAGTGAAGGCTCACAAGAAAAGAAAGGCATCTCCTATAGAGGAAGTAGCTCTGCAGCATTTGTGTGAATCTAATGACCGAAAGGATAGGTTTGGAACTAGAGGCATCAAAGAAGGTAATATCTGCAACCAAACTTTCCCACCCACCACTGATCCAGGTGGAACAGCTCAGGTGTGCAAAGATGGAATAGGTGATTCTGGTAGGAGTAATCAAGAAAATTTGGGAAGTTTTAAGGAAGAGTTGGAAGGGAACTTCATGAAGTTGCTTGACTTGGACAATGCTGTTGACGAGGGATGCTACCGTAGAGCAATTGAAATGCCGCTGTCACCTACCCTTCCTGTGATTGAGTTTCAAAACAGTGTTGAAATAAATAGCACTAAATGTTTAGTAGATGAGTGCTCTTATGAGGGATTTTTGAGTGAAAAGGTCAATCCTGTGTCATCTTGCAGCTTCGATGTCATCAATGTGGAGATTGACCCCAGTAAATTGAAACTTAACAGTCCTGAAACTTCTCATGTTCCCTCAGTAAGTATGAATGAAGGTGTCATTCATTCTTTCAAAAATGTAACAGACAAAGAAAATGGTGCAGGTAACACAGTATACGAGGATAATGCTTGTGCATGGCAAACATGGGACTCACGTGCAGAGTTGGGGATGTCAGATTTATGTAGTTCTGGCTATAAGGGGACAAATATTTCATATCAAAGTGCGCTTGGACTGGCATGTGATGAGCTTCCCAGATACTGTGTTGTGTTTTCAGATACCAAGGACAGTAGCAGCATTTCTAGGATATTTCGTGTGACTGGTACTATTATGGGCCAGTGCTCTATGATTTCTCTGACAGATCACTTGATGCAAAATATTGTGCCTGCTCTTTTGAAGATTGAAGATCTTTTACCTAAGTAAGTGATTCAATCATATTCAAGTTCTTAACTTTCATATTATGCCAGTGTCTGCTGTTTTTGAAGAATTCTATGTTAATTTAGATATGTCTGTTAGTTAGTATTGACTCCTTGCATTTGTTGCCTCTCTTGGTGAATTATTAGAAAAAGGAAGTCCTGTGAGCAGTTGGTTATGAAAATAGGTATAATCTGTTTATTTCTTCTTATTTTTAATTTCTTTCTTTCTTTCTTTTTCTTTTTTTTTTCTTTTTTTTCTCTTTTTCCTACTCTTTATAGGGAGAAGGCATGTGTATTTTTTTCAGTTCTACTACACAACTTTTCTGGGAGGGCTTTGGAGAATTTTGGAAACTTATCAAGCACAGATTCTACATTCTTATTAGATTCCTTTGCCGGATGCTTGCATACAGGTTTATAAAATTTGTGTGATTTTTCATTTCTATTTTTTTTTTTTTTTTTTTTTTTAGCCACCATTTGTCATACTTTTCCCCCTTTAAGAACTTGCAATTTTCTTTATGCACAGTGATGTCTGATGTGGAGACAAGAAGTGCTTTTACAGAATTATGCTTCTTCGGTGAACTGCTTGTTCTCGTTGAGGATTTTCTTCTAGACAGAAGAGTTCTGGTTTGTAGTAATGTATCTTCGGAATCATTGCCCAAAAGTGGTTCAAGTGTCAACATCCTTCTGAATGAAGAAGAAATAATCTTATCACATGGAATGGCTCCAACTCATCAATTAGTGGCTGGGGCAATTGTTTTAGCATCAATATGTGCAACAACAGACCACATTGGGTTTTTATGTGAGGCTTCATACAACATTTTCAGGATGCAAAATTTGGATACTTCTTTGATGCTGACTGTTCTTCATGTTTTTGCTCATATGTGTGGATCTAAATATTTTAACCTTACAGATTATAGTTTATTAATGACGGTCATGAAATCTTTAGTAACATTTCTTGAGAGAGAAAAAGTATCCAGTGATTACATTTACTGTATTCCATCTGCTGATGAGGTTCGGTCAGAGTTACCTTTGTGTACCAAATGCCCATTTTCAAAGGGTGCAGTTTCCATGGATATTGTTATTTCCATGCTCTTCGAAAAGCTTCAGAACCATGTGTTGTCTATTGTTGTGCGCCAAGATCTGATGGAATCAGTGAATTCATTGAACTCTGAACCTGATGCCCTCTCCCGCAATGAGAAAATTAAGAAAACTTCAGGTCATGAGGGAGCATTTGGTATCTTTTCCATGAACTGCAGCGGCTCTTCTTGTCTAAACAAGTTTGGGATGCCTACTACTCACTCAAACTCCACCGTTGATGAGAATTTGTGCCATTTCACTGATGTCCTCTCATTAGTGGAGCTGGTAGCATGCAACATGGTATGAGTTCACCTTTTCTGGTTTTACTTCAAATTCTATTTCATAGTCTGTTTTAGCTTGTGTTTTTGGGACGACTTCTATAGCTTCCCATGTGTGACTTGACCAGTGTGTTCAGATCTTGATAAGGTTTCACAAATTGAAAATCTTCAATTCTATTTAAAGCTTTTTTGTGAGTCAATTTTGACTTTTAGAGTTTTGTTGGAAACGTGGCAGATGGGATGTCTGTGGTGTGTCTATGTCGGACACATGTCGGACACATGTCCAAACAAGACATGTTATTTGTTTAATTTTTGTTAGACCCAGACACATATTGGATACTTGGGGGATACACGTGTTCATTACTTCAGCACACATGAAACACGCTATAAGTTTGAAGAAAATAACTTGGGTTCCAATTATAAAAGGAAAAACAATGTAGATTTATACCAATCAAACCCTCCTCCCTTATTAGACTTTTAGAAATTAGTGTTATGTTACATTGTTTTTATTATCTTTAAATGAAATATTCATATACATGACATATTATTAATATATAAAACAATATAGTTTGCGCAAGTCCCCCACATGTGAAGTTATTTTGAGAAACTATTAAATGAAAAACATTTAGAAAGCTTAACAGGAGAGGAATATGATAGCCCTAATGGAATTAGAAAATATAAGTTTTCTATCGACTATGGGAGTTTGAGATGGAATATGCACTAACGAAGATAAAATCAAGTAAGGCATTAGGACCAGATTGTATTCCTATTGATACTTGGAAATGCTTAGGTAAGGAAGGGGGGTGTTGGTTAACAATTTTTTAAAATAAGATTCTAGTGATTAGGAAAATGTTGATGAGTGGAGAAGAGATATTTTAGTACCTATAAATTAAAATAAAATGAGATGTCCAAAATTGTAACAACTACAAAGGCATTACGTTGATGAATTATACAATGAAATTGTGAGAGAGAATGATTGTACATCGCATAGGGATACAACAACTGTGCCAGAGAATCAGTTTGGATTTCTGTAAAGGTGTCGTTAGAAAAGAGGAAGGATTTTTTTGGGTAGGTAAGGGAAGAGGAAGGATATGCATATGGTTTTTATAAATTTGAAAAAAAAATTACAATAAAGTGCCTAGAGATATAATATGGTGGATGTTAAAGACAAAAGGGTGTGACCAAAGAATATATTGATATGATAAAAGACATGTATGATGGAGTTGTTTCAATTACTATTGCATCAAGCGTCTAGCTTTGAGTCCTTATTTATTTGCCTTAGTTATGAATTATTTAACTAAACTCATTCAAGATGATGTCTCATGGTGTATTTTTTCACAGATGATGTCCGATGTGTATTTTGAATATTTTATTGAGCTTCTGTAAAATGGGAAATAAATTTTGACTATTCTTGTTTTGAAATCTTTATGACTGTACTATCACTTGCAAGTTGCAAAGATGGTTGATTTAAACATACCCTTTTCTTTTTTTCTCTTTCAAATATGCTTTTTATTTACTTGCTTTTTCTTGTACATCAAGATTCTGAGAGAACTGTTCTCTGACTTCTTTGTACTTCTTTTCTTGATTTGCAGAGCTGGGACTGGACGTGCAACAATATTCTCTCTCAGATGTTGAAATTGTTGGAATCATGTTTCCTAGAGAACTTTTCCACTGTTACTATTGTTCTTCTTGGTAAACTGGGAAGGTAATAATATGGTTGCTTCAGTTTTGGAATAATATGAATGTTATTATTGACTAATGCATCTTCTTTTTAGGCACACTGTCAACTTTATATTCTAGTCCGGGATTGTGGCACTTAGTGTTGGTTGAAGCCTTGAGATAAAATTGAGAGGAACTGTGGTTTAGTATCTTGTTGACCGTGTTTTATCATTATGGTTTTGTTAAATGTTTTATCTTGGGAACGGGTGGAGGATAATGATGTGCCATGAAATATCAATCTGCTTGATAATTAGCATACACACACTAGTCACATGCAAGAGGATGTCCCATTTGGGAGTTGAGTCGTACTTTTTTGAGATATTATAAACTTGGGGCGATGTTTCCACCATAACTGAAAATAACATATTGTTACTGATCAAACCCACCTCCTCTTCACGTATCGTGGTTGATGGAGCCGAATGTTTGTTGCTTTCAATACCTAAAGTCTGGATCTAGGCTGCCTTTGTGTTTCTCCATACAATTTTAGGCTACATCCCTACACAAAAAAGAGCTCCACCTTCTTATAATTTGCATATGGTGTTTGTAAACAAGATGAATCCTCAAATATATGTGGAGATTTAAGAGGAATTGGGAATAAAGAAGAGATAGCAAGGAAATGATACTAAGTAGATGTAGAGCCATATTATAGGACATTTGAATAGACAAGTGAATTTTGTATATTGTGTAGGCGTTAAGCATATAGTCATGGACAGAGCGGAATGGAGAAAAGAATTCACGTAAACACCAAACCTACTTGATTGAGAGTTACAAGGCTTGGTTTGGTATTGTTGGCCTTAGGCTATCTATTTTATGAATTATACTATTTATTGGATAGAATTTAGAGATATGGTTTGTAATGATGAATTAAGAGACTAGAATTTAGAACATAATGCAAATTTTAGAAGTTAAATGGACAAGTGCGTGAGATAATAACTCGTGCTCTGATACCACTCTGTCATGACCCGAACCCGCTCCTAAAGGTCTAGGTCATGACCGGCCAGTAATCCTACATTACCTTCAGCCTCAATGATGAAATCAAATCATATAATTATAAATAGGGTTTAGTGGAAGCAATAACAAAATGTAAAGAAGTCCATTAAGTGGGCTTTCATAATATGAACCCATACCTTACTTCTAAGAAGCACGGACACTTCTAAGAAGGTAACGTATCCGTGAATGTAAAGAAGTCCATTAAGTGGGCTTTCATAATATGAACCCATACCTTACTTGAATTAATGACTATTGCCCAACCTAGCTTGGAGAGTGATTTGCTAGGGATATATATGGAAGTGGCTTTCGATGGGTTGGACGGTCCATGAGGTACCAAGTGTAGTAAGGGTTTTGCAGAATTAGGTTAGGCTTTCTATTCCAGTCGGGGGGGCTATCTGACCTCATAAGTAGAACAAGTCATTCTTCATACCATAATAATAATAATACTACTACAAATTCAAACTTCAACTTTCACACATATAACATGTTTTACTATTTCAAAAGCAAAAACAAGGGATGACAAAAGCTTAGCTCCTTTAAAGACCAAGCAACGCCCCCATCACGGAGGCACTTCTCGTTCGATTGGCTTCTCGAAAGGGTGGACTCCCAAAGCAACTCTAAGCTAGTCAATCCACATGCTTACCTACATATATATAAGGGAGAGAAGTGAGCTGGAGCCTAGTGAGTAACATCAATATAAAAGATTTAATGAATGAAGTCCAACATTTCATAAACATATCTTTTCAATAAACCAAATCAAATCAAACCAAACCAAATCAAGTCTTTAAGTCCCATCAAATAGGGTCGGCTACATGAATTTTTCTTCTCCACGTGGCCCTATCAAAAGCCATTTCGTTAGTCAAATTAAGTAGATCCATATCTCTATTTACAACACTAGTCAATGTTAATCTAGGTCTATCCCGTCTCCTAACACTCCCATCTACCGTTACAGCATCGCATCTCTTCATTACTGCCTCTATTGCTCTCCGTTGAATGTGACCAAATCAAACCAAACCAAATCAAGTCTTTAAGTCCCATCAAATAGGGTCGGCTACATGAATTTTTCTTCTCCACGTGGCCCTATCAAAAGCCATTTCGTTAGTCAAATTAAGTAGATCCATATCTCTATTTACAACACTAGTCAATGTTAATCTAGGTCTATCCTGTCTCCTAACACTCCCATCTACCGTTACAGCATCGCATCTCTTCATTACTACCTCTATTGCTCTCCGTTGAATGTGACCAAACCACCTCAATCGATTCTCTCTCAACTTATCTTTTATTGGTGCTACTCCTACCCATTCCCGAATACACTCATTCCTAATTCTGTCCTGTCTTGTCTTGTCTTGTCACACATCCACCTGAGCATCCTTATCTCAGTCGCACTCATCGTATCTACATGTTTTTTCTTGGTTGCCAAACACTCCATCCTATACAACATTGCTAGTCTAATAGTCGTTCTATAGTACTTACCTTTTAGCCTAGTCAGTATTCGTTTATCGCACAGTGCCCCAGACACACTTCTCCACTTACACCATCCAACCTTAATCCTATAGGCCACATCCGCATCAATCTCCCCCGGTGTTGTGATAATCGATCCTAAATAATGAAAATGTTTACTCTTAGGCAGTTCTTGGTTCTTAATTTTCACTTCTCCTCTGCTTTCATTGTTACTGTTACTAAATTTACATTTCATGTATTCTGTCTTAGTTTTGCTTATTCAGAATCCTTTAGATTCAAGAGCTTTTCTTCAAATCTCCAACTTTATGTTAACTCCTTCTCTAGTTTTATCCACTAGCACAATATCATCTGCAAAAAGCATACACCATGACACGTCATCCTGAATATTTCTTGTCAACTTATTCATAACTAAAGTAACAAGATAAGGACTTAATGTAGATCCTTAGTATAACCCTACAGTGATAAGAAATTCATTTGTCTCTCCAGCAGGTGATTTAATAGTGGTCACCACCCCTTCACACATGCCCCTAATCACATCAATATAACCTTTTGTCACCCTTTTCTTCTCTAACACCCACCATATTATACCCCGGGACACTCTATCATATACTTTCTCAAGATCGATAAACACCATATAAATATCTCTTTTCTTTTCGCTATACTTTTCTATTACTCTCCTCAAAAGATAAATATATCTTTTCAATATCTGAAACAATTTATATAAACAATCACATCAATCCTTTATGTTGACAATATCTATTCAAAAACATTATACGTCGTTAACATCTAATAGAATAACAAATAATCAATAGGCCGAAGCCAATGGGGACCATATAGGTCAAACAATGGGACCACAACGGGTCAATCAATAAAACCACGACGCTTAATTCAATGTGGACCACTAGGGTCTAATATCAGAAATCTCCGTGTTTCAATTAATCCAATGGATCATGGTATTATGTCTCCCAAGCAAAGGCCTCATTAAAGGATGCTACAAATACAATTTCAAAAAGGACATTCATTCATAAATACAAAATAAGATTTCATAATATCATTCTTGATCAATTCAAAATACTTTTCGAACATATCTTTATAGAGATATTATTCACAATGGGCTTGTACTAGTGTTAAGCTTCGGGTGTCCAACATACACAAAGCATATAACAAAGGTGCAATGAAACATACTATTCAACAATTAATCTAATCTTATTCCGATTCGATTCGATTCGATTCGATTCGATTCTTTGGGTGGGTTTTTAACTTATTATTTTCTTAATGAAAGTATGCACTTGAAAGTATTTTTCAAAAGTTGCTGGAACAGGGCAGTTTGCTCTAGCAGTCAGCATGGTCTACAAAAGTTCTGAATGCTCGAAATCTAGGCTCGATAGTCGTCGAGCCAAGTACGATGAAAGTTGAGTTCGCTCGAGCGGACTCTTGGTCGCTCGAGCGATGTACAATGCCTCTGCAAAAATACTGGATGGCCTCATAGTGCTCTCGAGCCGTAACTTCGTCGCTTGAGTGATGAAGTCGAATTCTGGGTGTTCCATAACAGAATTTAAAGCTTCAAAACATAAGTCCTTAAGTCAAATGCTTGCATGGCTGGTTCAATTACTTGAAAGCACTTAGGAAAATGAATGTAAACCAATTTGAAGTCTGAGTCCAAAAACTTCATAAATTTACAAAATTGAAATCAAACTTCCATGCATGTATGGAATTGTTTCCAAACTCTTTCCAAAACCTTTAAACATGAAATTAAACATTTTAAAAACTTGTAATTCCTTAATGCATGTAAAATTCAACTCTCAATTTCAACAAGAATACCAAAATTCAAGCTCACAATGGTAAAATATGATGGAATTATGCATGCATGTATGCTCTAACCTCAAATTCAACATCTTTTAACTCTTTTCTTGTCATTAAGTTAATAATCTTTATGAATTCATTTACTAGATGAGTTATCATCAAGAATTGAGGTTGGAATTCATACCTAGAGTCTTCAACTAAGCTTATTCTTGCAAAAACTTGACTTCTTCTTCTTAATTCTTCAATCCTCCAAGCAATTCTTCACAAATTCTCCTCTCTCTTTAGAGGTTGATTTCACTCTTTCTCTAAAATCTCAGCCCAATTGTGTTGATTATTAACTTAATTCCCTTCAAAAATCATATATATATATATATACCTAGGATAAGTTTAGGCTAATTAAGTACACTTAAGGATAATTAAACAAGCTTAAGGTTAATCAATCCTACGCAATTTTAATTGTTTAATCCTAATTAATTTAATCTGAATCAAATTTTAATTTAACTCCCCAAATGGTTCTAAATATTCCAATAAGCCTATTGAATTTGTCAATTTCTGTTTCTGAATTCGTTAAGGCTTTCATTCCTGATTCAAAGGAAGCATTCTAACAGATATTTCATAATCAGACAGATATAAGCAAAATTAAGCACAGAAACATGCAAATTCACGTAATAACTCAATATGCAATAATGATATGCATGTCGGGATCGTCACGCTTGTTTGGAATCATTTTTAAAAAATAGTTCTCTACAACTGAGATTTGAGAAAATGAAAACACCGAAAACAAGTTTGATGGAGCTGTTTTTGGAAACTATTTTTGAGAGACTTTCCTCACAACAGCTCATTTAAAATAAAATAAAAATTGTTTGGAGTTTTCTTTCATGTTATCAGTTAATATATGCTTTTCCGTGTCCTAATGCCTTGGCTCTAGTAATAATGTTGTAATGGTAAAGGGTTGCAGTGCAATTAAGGTACCTTTACTTGGAATCTTGTGTAGTGAAAAAACAAAACAAAAACACAAACCTACCATTTTATGATTACTGCGTCATTGTTTTGTGTCCAAGTTTTTGGTGCTTTTACTTGCCTGAATTCAACGCATTATAGTTAATTTATCTATAAAAGAAATTATTTACTTAACTATTATTATCTTTTTTACAGGCTTGGAGTTGATGCTAGTGGGTATGGAAACAACGGTGTTGAAAACCTGAAAATCAGATTGTCTGCTTTTCTGTGCCAGAGCTCTTCAAGGAAATTGGGCCTGCCTAGTCAAATTGCTACCGCAAATGCTTTACTTGGTCTCCTTCCTCTTAATTTTAAAGAAATTATCAAGTATAGTTTAGCGGAGCTTCCAGCAGTGGTAAGCCAATCTGATCCTGCTGATTGTATAATAAGGAAGTGGTTCTCTATGCTGAGCAGTGAGCAACAGTCCTTGTCATTCAGCCTTCTACAATCTTCTGGCGTGAAGAGTCGCAGCATAACTGGATAGGATGGTCGTTGCTGCGAGTGTAGTCTGAGTGCCCAAGTTTGAATTGGGGGACCTTATCATCATATGTAGCATCATTGCATTTGTTGTACATAGCCAGAATGAGATTGAAAAGTACTACTTTTTGATGAATTTCACCATTTTTGTAGTAGGCATGTATGTAGTTTTGCATGCATTGAGAAATACATGAAGAAGAGGTGATGATGCTGAAAGATGATTTTTGTTTTTAATTGTATATTTCTTTCCGGCAAAGTTGGGAGTTACGAACAACTTAACTTCTTCATCTTGCCTTGGCTCACTTGTTATCCGTGGTCACCAGTGCTGCTTTGTTTTATTGTTTTTCATAGTTGTCAAAATTAGCAAGTATGAAACAGAAGGTGGTAAATAGTTTCTAAGAATTGGCTTTATGTTGAAATTTCTTGAAGCTATATTTGATTTGGGGATTTGAGAAGAAATTTGAAAAGGAAAAGGGAAAAAGTGTATGAAATTAGGTAAAATATAGGTATATTTTATTCACATTTCACTTATTTTTTCTCTGTCCTTTCCTAAATCTTTTTCAAAATCTTTCAACTAAAAACAGCATAAATGATAGTACACATTTGGAAGACGTTTAATGTTTGTTATAAATCTCTCAAAGAAAACCCACAAAAATTTAATGAAGTTTCAAAAGCAAGTTTTGCTGTGTACCTTGTTAGTTTTCTTTCAATGTTCATCAATCAAAATATAAAGTATCCGAAATGTTTTTTCTGAAGTCTGTCTATATGAGATTAAGAACAACCAAATTGAGATGTAACAATGTGTAATTGACTAAAAGTTATTTGCCCCTTGAAGAATAGAGGGAGAAATGAGTGAAGGTACGCAAGAATAAATTCTCAAACAACTTTGATTTGTTAAACAGGAAACCCTACTATTGCTACTATTATCACAAACTCAGTGGGGTGACCAAGGCAAAGGCAAGCTCGGCTCCTGCATATCTTGGCCCACCACTTCCACATGCTTATTGTTGCTCGCTGTCCTCTCTTCTCTTCTACTCTTTTACATTATCCATTCATTCATTCATATCTATCTATCTATCTAGGAGTATATTTTTATACACGCATTACGCATATCTATGTATACTTAAGTGCCATTCGTTTCGATCGGCCAAGGTTTACATAGGGGAACCATATGAGTTTACTGTGTTTTTTTTTTTTTAAATGATTTGTTTACTGATGTTGATACAGGATATGAATACGAAACGGATTTGGCATTTGGCAACACCGAATACAAATAAATGTAGTTTTGAATTTGTTAATTGCAAAGCATACACAATTAATTAAGTTACCACATATGTTCTAAACATATATTATTGTTATATTGCCTTCTCCCCGATTTGTCTATGTACTAGTTTATTAGGATGTGTTGCGTTGTGTTATGTTGTGTTGCGTTGCATTGCACCTTAATGCTTACTTGTACTTTTTATTGATGTGAAGAACCTTAGCTTATAATGTGAATGGTTGCTTTCTTTGGCTCACCACTTCCTCTTTATTAAGTGGACTGGCAGTATTGTTGCAATCCCATGTAGACGTGGGTTTTGGAGCAGCCATTTCTCCAAAATTTGAATTGGAATGTGTTTGTGAAACTTTACTAATCTATGTTTCTCAGTTTTATCTTCTTTCTTCTTTTCCTTCAGTGTTGTGGATTTGAAAATAAAATAAAATATTGGAAAAACTAATATTTTAAATTAGCTTCTATGATGAAAAGGCACACTGACTTGTCCATCCACATTTGTTGAAAGAGGTGAAGTTGGAATGCAACTTGTTGATAGTGATCTTGCTCATGCTTGTAGAATAATGTCTGCTAGACGATGTGTCACATTATCTACAGCTGGGTTGTTTTGAAGATGCCAAAAACCTGGCCATCTAGTTTCGTTCAGCAAAAGCTGGATACAAGTTTAGTGTCACTTTGGTCCACCAGCTATGCAGCTTGTGAAAATGTGCTTGTGAACATTACTTTATTTGTAACCCTTGTACTGAACATTTTTTTTTTTTTTTTCAAATAAAAAATGGTAATAGTGATTGTTATTATCAGCTGGCCTGATTTGTTGTTTCCTGAACACCTAGGTATCTGTACTTGCAGTATGTTTAGTCTGAAGCTTCAAAATATAATTTGATGTCTTGATGGAGCAAATGCTGGGCACACTGTTTACAATGCAGATGGCAAGAAGTTTGCCCTTCGCCTTGTTCCTTCGGGTATTCTGAATGAGAACACTCTGTGTTATTGGTAATGGCATTGTGGTGCATTTACCAGGATTGTTCAAAGAAATTGATGGCCTTGAATCAAATGGGATCTCCTGCAAAGAAAGGATATTGGTATCTGACTGACTGTGTTCACTTGTTATTTAATTTTCATCGAGTAGTTGATGGGCTTAGAGAATCTGAGCTAGCCAACTCCTTTATTGGCACTACCAAGAACGGCATTGGACCATGTTACTCTAGCAAAGTTATCTGGAATGGCATCAGAGTATGTGACCTGAGACATATGGACACTTTCCCTCAGAAGCTTGATCTGTTATTGTCAGAGGCAGCTTCAAGATTCCAAGGTTTTAAGCACAGCCCAGACATGCTTAGAGAAGAAGTTGAAAATTACAAGAGATTTGCCGAGAGGTTGGAACCCTTCATTGCTGATACTGTGTATGTCGTGAATGAATGCATTGCGCAAGAGAAGAAGATTTTGGTGGAAGGAGATCAGGCAACCATGCTGGACATTGACTTTGGAACCTACCCCTTCGTAACTTCCTCTAGTCCATCAGCAGGTGGAATCTGCACTGGTCTTGGCATTTTACCTAGAGTTGTTGGTGACCTAATCGGAGTGGTAAGTGGATTATTCTTGCATTTCTTTCTTCTCTCCAGGGTAAGAGAACAGTTTCTTCTCATTTTCCTTGCTGGTAAAAGTTGCAAATTTTATGAGGTTGGGCAATTTATCAATTTAATAAGGAAGTGTTGTAACTTGTTTTTGACCAAGTACAAGGTAGTTGATAGTAAGCAGTTGCCTCAGCTTGAACAGTAACCCTTGTGCTTTATTTCAAAGAACACATGCTTCTGGAATTCTTTTAACATATTGCAATGGCAAATAGAATTTTTGTGCTTGACATAATACTATGATATTGTTGGGTTGCATGGCCAGTTGTGGTTCCTAATGGATGTTTCCTGTGTAGGTTAAAGCATACACTACAAGAGTTGGTTTAGGTCCTTTCCCAACTGAAATCTTGCGCAAAGGTGGTGGCCTACTTAGGTTTGCTGGGCAGGAGTTTGGCACAGTTACTGATCGTCCTTGTCGTTGTAGCTGGCTTGACATAGTTGCTCTACAGTACTGCTGTCGAATTAATGGATTTTATTCTCTCAATCTCACCAAACCTGATGTTTTGTCTGATTTTTCTGAAATTCAGTCGGGTGTATCTTACAAACACATTGATGGTTCACCAATCAAATCATTCCCAGCAGATCTTAGTGTTCTGGAGCAACTAAAGGCATGTATTTCTTTTTCATCCAAATATTCACTTTGACGTTGTTCTTAATGACTTATTCATAAGCTTCCATTGGTAGCTGTTTTGTACTTGGTGAAAGTCAAAACCTTGAACTATTAGCCCTCCAAATATGACTTTAAACTGAAGGTCCAAATGAAGGGAACACCTGTCATATGCAGGCATTGTTACCTTTTGTTTTCCATGCATTTGAAACCCTACAGTCTAACAAGGAATAAATTCATACATATATAACAGAACATTAATAAAGTAAACCTTCTCGTCCCCCCCCCCCTCCCAACGCCCCGCTGCAATAAATCTTTTTGGTCATACTGAATATTTTATAAAATTCAACTCTTTGTGATGGCTTACCCCAACACAACTGGGATTTAATTATTAATAAATAAATAGCTAAATAAAAACTGAGATTTAATAAAAATAGATAATGGGAAACAAAACTTGAAGAGTTAATAGAAAATAAATAAACAAAATTAACAAATAAATTCTAATTCTATTGGAAAGATAATCTAACAATTTATTCTCCCTGTGGCTTTGAATTAATGTGTATCTCACACTTGTGTAGGTGGAATATGAAGTTTTGCCTGGGTGGCAGTGTGATATTTCTTCTATCAGAAACTATTTTGATCTTCCGAAGGCAGCACGTCAATACATGGAAAGGATAGAAGAACTTGTTGGCATTCCCATCCATTATATAGGTGTTGAGCGACATGATGCCATTATATACAAATGATTTCTTGATTTCTCTGCTTGGATTTGTTCAATGGGTTTCTCATGTTCTCATTGGGAAGATAAAGCTTCTAATATCAGAGAAATGCCCTGTGATTGGGATATATGTTTAGATAAAGAGAGAGTTTGAATTTGTTGACATGCATGGCTACTCTCCTTAGGTCCTCTGATTTGTAAGAATTGTATTGAACTATTTATATATATATATATGTATCCCAACCATAGATTAGCTTATTTCTGTGCTCGTAGAGGACGCTTTTGGCTCTAGCAGTGACTGGAGGGCTTTAGTATGGTGACTTTCTATGTCACTTTTCACAATGAATATGGTAATATCTGTAACCATTGTAGCTTTAATTGTAATTTGTGTTTCTTTAGATGGCACCATTGATTTATGCTCGATAAATCTGTGGGAAGTGGAAAGCTTGCATCTACTTTTTGCAGTCAATTTCGTATCTTGATGTGGAAGCCAAAATTGATATAGTTGAGCTGATACATGTCATTATTATTGATAGGTCCCTTTCTATTGAATTATGGCCTGCTGATTCTTGTGAAATGGCAAATTACCCAATTCATTTTGATTTTGCTGTCGTTTCTTTAGAAGCAGATTTCTTGTACTATTATTCATGTTTCCTTGATTTTGTGCCATTCATCATGTGAAAGTGTTGCGGTGTTATATTTTGAAAATTATCAGAAGTCGCGTATTAGCACAGATGGTTCTTCTGGTGGATCATTTATCAGTGAGACAAATAGCTTAGGGCCAGAAGTAACCCGTACTTCTTACAAAAACACTTCATGGGTGCTGCTGGAATCCCGTTAGATTTTTTCTTTTCCTAGAAAAGAGTCCAAGTGTATAGTTTAACCCCATTATCTGTTGACAGAACCCTCACCACACCAAGAAAAATATACAACATATTTTAGTACTTCAACTATTGCTTTAAGATCTCAGTTTGATTCTCTTTAGAAAGAAAACGCTATGTTGATTAGATTCATGCATTAATTAACTCTTTTCTAATTGTGGGAGTGTCAAATTTGATTTATTTTGCATGCGGGTCCAGCTAAATTTAGGCGCATCATAAACGCGTGGAACGTGGCACCTTAAATTTTAGGGGTTGTACAAGCGTTTTCATCGAAATGTTTAAATTTTGCTTTAAACTTTTTCTCCTGGGGAATATTGTCTTTCTCACTAGCCGGTGCTCTACTATTTTTTAGTGATGCAGATTTTAGACCAGGAATTTAGTTCAGCTGCTGCCAGAGAATATCATCGTTTCCAGGTAAATCATAATTGTCTACACTTTCTGGTTTCTAGTATTTTTAATTTTACAGTGCTTGCGATTCTTCAGCAAATTTGAATTCTAGTTAGACAAATAACTTCTTGATCAACAAAATTTTCAATCATATTAAGATTCACATTGACATCACACTGCAAGAGTAAATGGTGTTTTGTTTCGTAAAATGGTTCTCCAGCACATAACATAAATATAGCTAGAAAAAATACAGCAAAGGTGTAAAATACAAATGAACTGTTGCTTCCAATGATCATAACCAGAAACATGTTCAATTTCCATCTGCTGCCACCATACTAGTACAATAAACTCTTCTCCCCTGCTGCTACTACTACTACTGCAGAACATCCTCTCTCTCTCTCATTTAGTCAAAACTGATATCTCGTGTAAATTCTACGGCAGAACCTGCTAGTGACTAGATTAGAAACCAACTAAGACGTAACTACATTATGATTAGTCCTCATATTACATCTGGAAAGCTAAATCCCGCCCTTCAAAAATCAGGTGATCCTTTCAGAAGTTCCAAATGGAACCTGGGAAACAGAGTTCTTCTTCATGAATATCACAAACCTGGTAACTACTAGCTTCTGCTTCTTGATGGTCCTCTGTACCTCGCATCTCAATCAGCGTGTCCCAATTGAAACTGTTATCAGCAAAGGCCACAACACCACTATCGTCGTCGTCGTCGTCGTCGTCTTCTTTCAGTGATGATTCAGGCATCACAATGCTTTCAGTGACATTGCTGCCATGTGAGGAACTCTCTTCTTTCAGTATGCCCATCTGCTGGAGGAACTCATGCAGGTCAATCTGAGGCTTCTCCTCGCGATGATGTCCTGATATTTTTTCAGATGAAATTTGTACATCTTTCACCATAGTAGTAGGTACTGATGTTTCTAAGCAGTTTTTGTCATTATTGATGATCGGGTTTTTAGTTTTTGAATAACAGGAGGAAGATGAGGCAGTAGAAGATGAGTGGTTAAGGATCCGATTTTTCTCAAGTTCTTGGAGCTTTTGATGAATGACATGTACATTGGGTTGGGCATTTAGATTGAGCCACCCTGTGGCAGTGGGAGTGGGAGTGGGAGTGGGATGAAACATGGAGACAAAGTTGTTGGAGGGAAACCAGTTGAACTTGTGGGATTTGGATTTGATTAAAGGGTTGAAGTTTGATTGAAGATGGGGTAGGTTGAGGTAAGCATCTGGCCCATATAACCTCCTGGCGGCTTCGTCATACGCCATGGCAGCTTCTTCGGCAGTGGCAAAAGAACCCAACCAAAGTCTGGTTCTCTTCTTGGGCTCTCTGATTTCAGCCACCCACTTGCCCCAGGTTCTTTGACGAACTCCACGGTACTCACAGGTAGCATTCTGAGGCCCACCTTTCCCTCTTGGAGGGCCTTTTTTCCATGGTTTTATTAGACTTCTCTTGCAATTTTCCATGTTAGCTTTTTTGCCTTTAGCCAAAATGCTAAATAAGTGAGTGAGGTGTGGTGTGGTGTGATGTGTAAGTAGAGGGGACAGTGGAGAGTAGTAGTAGTAGTAGTAGTGGGGAGTGGTTAGAATAGGTGGAAGGCGCGGGATATATATATATATGTATAGAGAGTGCAGTTTGGTTTTAAATGTTGTCACGGTTGGAGATAGTTCTCAAGCGCATGTGACCGTTGGGATTAGTATGTATGTAGTAGTGGTAGTATTAGTCTTCACATTTGAGATAAAAAGATAAATCTAAGCAATAGCATCACAAAAATGCACTTTTTGTTTGGTATATTGGAGGTCATAGCCTAGAGAAGATTGAAGTCTTGCTTATAGCAAGATTTGAAATACTATTCTCTTAATTTCTAATGAGGTGCAAAAATTCTGACCAATTAGACTTGCCTTTAGTTAGTTAATGTTTTCACAATTTGCATGACTAAAAAGAAGGTTTTAATTGGATGAATGTTTTCAAATGAGAGGATTTGATGTTGAATTATATACATATATATATAAGATTAAGTTGTTATAGGTGAATTGAGAAATTAAAAGGGAAGATAAGTTAGAGACCGAAAAAATATATATTGTATTTTAAATAAATACTTTATATTGTTATTTTAAAATTATCATGACATTCCAATTTAATTTTGAAATTCATATCTAAGTCATCCTATTTAAATTTGAGTTATTCTCATTAAATGAAGTGTAAATCCTTTCATTTTAAATCCATCCATAAACCGGTATATGGCAATGGCATGGATTGAATAAGATATAATGGCAAAACAAGAACTTTATATAATTGGATAAGAATTATATGATATAATTGCTTCTTCTTCTTCTTCTTCTTCTTTTTTTTAATCATAATAATGTGCTAGGCTTTAGAAGCTTACGCTGCTGGTAGAGAGAAGAGCTGTATTAAGTTGTTACACCGACCTCGGTTCCTACCCTTTTGGCAGTAAATTTGTATTTGTGAGAGAGAGGGTGGTGGTTGAGATTTTTTACTACATATCATATCATATATAAAAGAGCTAGTGGACTTAAGACTTTGGATTCACAAAATGAACTGATTGCGTTAAATGAACTCTTCACACTCTCTTCCTAGGATTCTCTACTAGTGGTGTGGTCTCTTGCATCTACAATGAAAATGATCTTCACAAACACATACGTAGAGAGAGAGAGAGAGAGTGCATGGGAGAAAGGTGATGGATGGGGGGGAATACCAGCAGGTATCAAGTGGTGAATGTCAGTAAAGCATGTGAGTAAGTAAATTTGAGCTCGTGAAATTCAAAAATGTTTTGAGGTGGCTCCTCCCTCTCCCCTCCTTAATTACCCTTCCCAATTAAAAACACATACTCTCCCACTCTCTCCAAAAGACGCTACATTTACGATTTACTTCTTATCATGTGCATGCCATTTAAATATGACACATTCCATGACCCATTCAATTGTGAAATTTAGCGTCTACCATTTTCCTATGTCATCTAATTTAAATGAGTTCATATACATATGTATATATATATATATATTCTTCGCATTGTCTCGCCCATATCATCATAACCCATGCAAGTGACCTAAATCTGAGTGGATATGGGCATGTTTCTTCATACTTACAGGCAGCTGTGACAAGAAGAACCATCATAAACCCATATAGGCAATATACAAACACGACAAGGTATCTTTCCAATAATAGGTTTTAGGATTTGGAATTATTTATTTCTGGATAATATGATCATCTATCACCCTCAAATGTAATTTTAAAGGCATATATGGATATGATGCTTTAATCAGAGTCATCAGTAGCACAAAAATTTCAACTTCCTTCCATCTCAAGGGTTTGTACATGTAAAATGACTTTTTCATGCGCCTTAGGCTTATTTCCCACCACAAAGCTACGGATCGCTTAAATACACGCTTTTTTTGAACAAGAAATAACCCACGAGTTGACAGAACAATCTTTGCCCTTGCTTCCACCACCTGCAATAAAAATAATGATTTTTTCAAGGCAAAATTGTTGTGTTAATCTCTAAAGAAAATAATGGTGCTATTATAACAATGGATATACCCATTTATTATGAACGATATCTAGCAAAGCTTGTGTAAAAGATAAAGTAACATTTCATAGATTAAGAAAGAAATTGCCACAAAATCCACCATATGTAGATAGATAAATATGTATGTGTTCATATATATCAGTCTCACTAGCAGCCATCACTGATATTTGGTGGAGGGCAAAAACAGGAATATCAACTAAGAGTGACTACATTAATATCTACCATAGTTAAACTAGCCATTCAAATTTCATATATCCCATTTGACATCAGACTATGCAATGATGATTTAACAAGAAGATGCAAGCTGTATATAAATCATTCAAACCTACTTAATTTAGTCCTAACTTCTATTCCATTGAAATTTCTATACAAATCATCATCAAACAGAATTTATGAATCAAACCAAATTGTGGCTCCTAATCATGTCTTACAATTAGAGAAAATAGATTAATTGGCAAGCTTACCATAAGGGCTTTCAGACAGAGAAGCAAAACCTGGACACACCCTAAATAAAAACAAAACCTTTAATGTGGTTTTTGGCTTTAGAATCATTTGTTACATTTCCCTGCTTGGTAAAACAATGACCTCTTTTCCACGCATTAACTAATTACCCTTGGAAGAGCCTTTGCTCAACCTTTACTAAACAGAAATGTGTTGAACCAAAATCACTAAATTTTGGACCATTATCAACTTCTAACTTGGTATTGGAGAAGTGATGTTCTGAGAAAACAGGTAATGCTCGTTCAATCAAGCTTTTCTCCTCAGCAAAACATAAGACATCACAATCAGGGGAAAGCACAGGTCAGATAGATGAGATACTTTAATGAGAAAGAATTTGGTTCAGACAAGCCAAATCTTGTAATCTCATAAATGAGTGGGATTGTGGGAGATGTGTGGATGGATATATCCGTTACTCATCAAATAGATCCTCTCATTTAAGATCAAGGATTGGCCTAATAGATGAGGTATTCCCTTACCATGTGTAATGTTCAATTGGAATCCTGACGCAGGTTCACTATTCATGGCTATTATCTTGACAGCAAAGAAAATTCCAACCCACTTCTTTAATTTTATCCTAGTTGACACTAATTTGACATTAGAAGTACAATGATCTCAGCATTCCCATAAAATATTCATTATTTTTATGGTAGGTCCTGTATTTCACATGCCTAATCCTGTTATGTTCTTTATAGGGAATTCCAACGTCAGGGAGCCATTCACCTTACTGGTGCTAATAAGAAGTTTTACACCACAAGCAATTAAGCAAAAAGTTGCAGAATATAAAAATAATCTTTAGAAGATTGTGTGCACAACTCAAATGAATCATTCACTAGATAATGTACCATACCCTAAAATAAAGCATTAACCCAACATTTAGTGTCTACCTATGCCAAACTATGTTCCGTTTAGCCTCTACTTGAGCCAACTCTGTTCCAATTGGGAGCCACCTCAATACAAATTGCTAGTGTTTGACAATTGACTCCATGCATGTGGCATCATGAAAGCCTCTAGTGCCACCAAGTTGACATGTGTTAGAACTCATAATTTGATCATTTAAATATGGTTCATTGGGATTCATGTCTTATGGACAATTTTCAATTGCTAGAGAAAGAATCTTAAGCCAGTGCAAGTCATTTAAGTGTCTGATTAAGCCAAACATCCTTATCACTCGCAAAGTTCAATGTTCATAACACTCAAAAAAATTCAGTTTTCAACCACAAAACCTTGCATAATCACATCCAAAAAACATATCCCCTTTCCTTGCCTATTAGATTTCAATTCAACCATTAAAACCCCAAATTATTCACTTTTAGTCCCTTGAATAGCACCTCTCCTCTTCCAGTCACTGTTCACAATCTTCTTCTCGGGTTACTGTTCACAATCCTCCAAAATTGCACTTTTCAACAACAAAACCCTATATATTCACATCCAAATCAATCATATCCTCTTTCCTTGCCAATTGTATTCCAATTCAACAATTAAAACCCTAAATTATTCAAATTTAGGCCCTTACATAGCCTGCATTCCAAAAATTCAGCAAGACTTCTAAAATCAAACCAAATATCAAATCTAAAATCAACCTTCTTCTCCCTCATAAACGAATCTTTCTACAACCAAAATCCACCACAATTCCTACTGTAGCTGTTTGGTTCAGCTTATTTGAGCTACTTATAGCTTCTTTTTTTTATTCTGGGAGTTTTCTGCCAAATTGTTGTGCAGCTTGTGCTTATAACTTATTAGGCATAAATAGCTTAAATACGTTGTAAAGAAATGATTATCTAAAAGTTGGGAGAGGGGTGCTTTTGACTTATGATTTCTAATTATCAACTTCTAGCTTACAATAAGTTGCACCAAACAGGCCCATTGTAGGTAGCAATACCCAAATATCCCTAAAACTATCCACCATCACCAACTCAAATACCTTCTTGAATTCAATCTACCATCATAATTTTGGAACTTTTTTAATGAGCAATAATACAATTCTTATTGAAGCAATGAGAATTTCATTCCACATGCTAAAAGGTTGAGGCAAAAAGCAGAGCAAGATAAAAAAAAAAGTACAAAATGGAGAAATCAATATATAATGAGGTACCTTCAATAGGCAAAAAGTTTATTTTCCTTTCCAGGCAAAAGTCCATGTTCCATCCCAATCTCATTCTTGCTGATGTCTGTTCCATCCGCTTCATGAATACTATACAAAACAATCTCTACCAAAGTGCCCAAAGCCTTAAACAGTGTTGCCCACTTTGCTTTCAACTGTACCAACAAGTGTCTTCTGTGCCGCTTTCCTTTTGGATTGGATTTGTCGGACATATTCTGCAACTACGACATGGAACTTGGGAGCAAGCTTGCTTGTAGAAGTGACATTAAGACCAGCCTTCCTCAAAGCCCTTGTAACATGTTTTTCAGCCTTTTGTAAATGAAGCGGGCAGAGAGAAGGAACAGTGGATCTTAATATTGGTTTCATACAAAGAGTAGGCGGTCCAGTCGGTGAACTGTACAGCAGATTACTGTTCAATTAGTAAATATATCCAATTTTATTAATCACATATTATGTCTAAAGAATATAAGTTGTGTTGCCACCTCTTGGCATCAAATAGGCCAAGTGTCATGTTGTGGGGGTGGGTGGTGTTGTCTGATGCGGGTAACTGATGGCAAGTATAGCAACCTCCATATATAAATGTGACACAAAAACAATGTCCAACACACATCAAAATAAGCACTAAAATTGAACTATGTCAATCTGGCAACTGATGGCAAGTATAGCAACCTCCATATATAAATGTGACACAAAAACAATGTCCAACACACATCAAAATAAGCACTAAAATTGAACTATGTCAATCTGGCACCTCAAAAAAAACTGGAAATCCCACTCTGTATCAGGGTTGCCCTTCAAATTTTAATGTCTCATGTAATGGGCCCTCAAAAATTTAATATAGTATCTTGTTAAAAAGCCATTGGTAACCACATGCTTAAAAAACTTTGCGATAAACAAGGAATATAGTTTAATATATCGTATGGTGGGCATCTCATGTTAAAAAACCATTGGTAACCATGTGTTTGAAAAAACCGTTAGATTACTAGATTGGATAGAAATCATATTAAACCAAAAAAGTAAAAATCTGTTAAATAAAAGAGATTGGTTTCTAATGTGAATTCTTATAGTCTTTTAAAGGTAAGGTTTGTGGGTCAAAGAACCTTGAGTAATATTCAAATGGTTATGTAGATAATTATATATGCTTATGAGAAGTGAGTAACATGTCTCATCGCCGAATTTATAAACCAAACATGAGAAAGTCTTTCTCTTCATTTATTTATCACCAAATTAACCCATTCCAAGCCCAGCCCCACCTAACGCCCTGGGACTGACGGACCAACAACAAGTAATAGCCCTTCTTCTTAGGGCTAGGAAATTCATCTAGCAATTTAAATCAAATCACGAAATTTACAGTGAAAATTAACAATAATCTTGACAAAAGATGAGAAAGAGAGAGAGAGAGAGAGAGAGAGAGAGAGAAGCCAAACCTCTTGGTTACGTAGGTGCAGCCCTTGTAGAGCTCCTGCTTGGCATCGGACAGTATATGTGAATGACAAAACCTGGTGAGGGCCATCGCCTTCATCTTGCAACCATGTACCTCGCACCGATTTGCATTCCCATTGGAGCCCAACCCTAACCCTAACCCTAACCCTAGCCCTAATTTACCATTGTTAAGTGGATGTTGAATGTCATCTGGGATGATGGTGGTTCCGTAGTTGTTACTGTGATTGCGATTGAGACTGTGAAGAATGTCCTCGTCCTCAAGGAAGGGGCTCTTGCCGTAGTCCCAGTAGTAGTCTCTGTACTTGAGCTTGAGGTCCTCCATGAGAGACCAGTAATGGTCTCTGTAGATCTTGGATAGTTGCTTGAGGCGGCGTGAGCGGCGCTTGAGGACCTCAGGGCGAGTGAGGAACTGGGACCTGGACAAGGCTGAGTCGGAGTCGGAGTCGTCGGAGTCGGATCCATCGATGGCTATTTCCATAGGCGTAGCAGCAGAAGAGGAAGACGCAATGTTATTGTTATTGTTATTGTTGCTGGGCTCGGCCATATCTGATGAAGAATCAACAACGCGAAGTCGAAGAGAGGAGTTAGGGTTAGGGTTTTTGTCCTCAATGGGGTTAGGGTTGGGGTTTATGGAATTAGGGGGGATTTGGGAATGAAGAGAGAGACGGTGATTATGACTAAAATGATTGCTCGCAGATGCCATCTCCGTCTTCGAATTGCATTTGGCAACACTACACTACACTACACCACTACACAGTAACACAACACTGGAATATAAGAGAAGAGAGACAGACCGGGCAACCATGAACAAACAAACGCTGGCATGTTTGGGATGTGGCTTTTTTAAAGTCATTAAAAATTATTAAAAAAATCAATAATTTATATCAAAAAATTAATGATTTTTTTTATATATATATTTTTTCATAAAAAATTAAAATATCATTTTAAATATATTAATTTTTTACATCTTATTTTAACTAAAAAATTAAAAAATTATTATAAAAAAAAAAAAGAAGTGGAGTTATCGTTGCTGTTTCTCGTTCCGAAAAATGGGACTATCCCTATCTTTAAAATAATTAGCGACTGAGCACACGCGATATATGTGCAAACTCGTTTAAAATTATAATATGATTTTGATATTATTTTTTCTAATAATATACATATAAATAATTATGTACAATATAACATTTGATATTAACGTATTTGATAAATAAAATATATGCACATTAAAATATGTACACATCTTTTAAAAATTACAATATTTACTAATCTTAACTAAAAAAACTGTACAATAAAAATTTACATAAAATCTAAATTTGGTAACATGAGACTGGAGATCTTGCAAATCCTGCAAAACAAAATATAAGATATATGTAAAAATTAGTTTGCTAATAGTATACATTGATTAAATTAAAATTTTACGTTCTTAAAGTGAGCCATAATTATACATATGCATATTTTAATTAATAGAGTACAATAATAAGTTTGGTTTTATAATTGGTTTTATTATGTATAAAGACACAAAAGGTAATTATTGTCTTAATTTTTTATAAACAAAATCTAAAAATTAAAAACTTACATATTGATATGGATTGACATAGTCCATATCAAATGTTACGTTCAATAATCTCTTCAAATTGTTTTGATGCAATTTTTGCCATAGATCTATGACAACATTAAACTACAAAAAATAAGATGGAATTGACCAAAAATGAAGTACGTAACTTTAATTATACATACAAACCTATAAGTAGATTATCTTGTAACAATGTTGCACGTATCTTTATAAGCTCTCAATTTTTGTATCATTCGTTGCTTATAAAACTGAGGAAAAATATCTCACTTCCTTGTAAGTTGATTGTTTGACAAATTTATAAAATCTAAAATTAATTTGTAATTTCGCAAATATGAATATATTGAGCATAGTAGTAAACTTCATAAGACTTGATTTTTTACCACATATATGTTCATATTGTCTTTGCTGCATATACTTGCTCTATCATATATGATAAGATTTTTGTAAAAAGATTACAACAACTATTAGCAAATGTAACATATTGAAATTATTCATATAAAATGCCGCAAACACATTATCATACCGATGTTGTCGTTGCCTCAAAAGCTCTTACACAATTAATTTTCCCAATTGTTTTTTATCAACTTTAATAGAGACCTTCCATCTAATACTGTATATGGAGAACTGTTTGACCTACATTAATTTAAAAGGTATAGTTAAACTCAAAATATATGCGAATATTGTCAGATTAAATAGCCAAAATTTTACAAACATTATTTTTTGAACATAAGTGAAGCCAATACCTGATTTTTAACTTTCTTATCTGTAACCATAATTGACTCCTCTTGATAATTCTCCCAAAGCTAAAGTAGCTTTATTTTTTCAAGTATTCCCACAATCAATAATTATATGAAGATATATTATAAGTATATTAATTGTAGATTAAAAAAATGACATAATATAAGCTCAATAAGAATATATTTGGTACGTACCTCCTTTATCAATAATTTGGTAACAAAACGTCTTTGTAGACTACATTGCATGTATACACTCCTTCTTCACTATTAATTGAACCCCTTTTAACGAAGACTTTCGTTGTCTGATCTGACACCCCTCAAGATAAAGCAACATATAGTTGCCCATGACTAAATACATGATTTGGAAGGTAAATTCCCACATGTGGAATTGTTTGACCTTGTGATTTATTTATCATCAAAGCAAAACTAAGGCAAACTGGAAATTGTGTGTGAGTCATTTCAAATGGAAATTTTAAGTTTTCCAGTGCCTTTAATGGAATGCGATGCAAGAAAACTCTTGTGCCTTTGAAATGTCCTGTTAAAATCTCTGAATCTATGAAATTATCGTTCAAAGCTCGACACAGTAGCCTGGGGCCATTGCACAAATCAAAAGAAGGGTCAAGATTCCTCAAAAGCATAATTGGGGCTCTAACTTTCAAATGCAATGCATGTGGAGGCATTCCTCCTGGTGAAATGGAATTTAAAAACTCTTGTTGATACAAATTTTGGATATCATTTTCAACTTTATCAAATGAGTGGTACACTTTTAATTCTCCCAGAAATCTCTGAATGATTTTCTCATTGAGCTTGTCGACATTTTCATTCCGAGGAGTTATTATGCCCCTACTAATCATATACTCGGCGTCAAAAGAATGGTTTCTGATATCAGGATAAATTTCTTCTAATAGTCGAACTATTGATTCTTCGTCATTCCATAGTATTGCCATCGATGTTGGTACATTGATCATTTCATCTATAATGGTAGGTTGTACACCATCTCCAACAGATAAAAAAAATTCACCAAATTATTGGTCATTTATAGAGCGCATGTTTTGCTTTAAACAAATTATTTGAATGTGACTCCAGAGAGGTGATTTGACTATTGATGCAACAATAGTTTCAACTTTTGTACCTTTAGGAACAACTGGAAGTACTTGTTGAAAATCATTACCAAACACCATAATTTTGCCACCAAATGGATAATCAATACTAGTGATGTCTATGAGTGTTCGATTCAAAGCTTCAAAAGCATAATGATTTGTCATTATAGCTTCATCCCAAATGATGACTGTTGCACGTCTAATCAATTTTACCAAATCTGATTGTTTAGTAATGGAACACACGGACGAAGCCTCTGGATTTAATGGGATCTTAAATCTTGAATGGGTTGTCCTTCCACTAGGTAAAAGTATAGCTGCAATTCTAGAAGTTGCTGTTACAATGGCAATTCGACCTTGACTTCTCACTGAGGCCAATAGTGCACGTTATAAATATGTCTTTCCAATTCCTCCTGGGCCATCCACAAAGAAGATTGCACCAGTATTGCATTCCATAGCTCCATGATTGAATTAAATGCTAAGTGTTGATCACTATTTAATGTGGCAATAGAATTTAAGTCTTTTTGAGGAGTTACAATGGAAAGCTCATCTTGTATGACCTTTGGAACTGTTGAATTATCATCCAAATTCATTGTCATCTCAGGCAAATCGTATTCTGATATGTTCTTATAATGCTGTAGCAGGAGACAGTTTATATCTTGCAGGGTTTTGTTAAGGATATACATATTATTCATACTGTTTGTAGATATGTAATCTTCAATCAAGTAAGGATAAATTCCATCCCACAAACTTCGCACCCCTGTTGGCACACAGTAAACCAAAATTGTAACGAACAATCTCCTTAAAGTTGATGGCATGTGCATGGTTGCAGCTTCTAACAAACATTGTCCTATGCTATCATCATGCTCTAACAAACCATGATGTTCAGCTGCTTGTTTAAAAGTTGGGTACGCAATTCCATTAATCATTAACAAATGATCAAATGATTTTGGTCTTCGGATATGATTGAGTAAAATTCTCAGGTAAAATCTCTCCCCTTCTGATGGTGAAATTGTGTAAATTCTACCAATTACTCTTTGATGGTTCAATCTCAACTGCCAAATCTTTGCACTGTTGCACCATTTATAGTGTTGCGGGATCTCTCGATATAAGTACCAATTTGTAGTTTCATCATCAACATTTAATTGAAAGAATTGGGTAAGCATTATTCTGGAATAGTACTCATCGCCTAAAACATTTGTGATGTCTTGGAATGTATAAAACCTCGCTTGCTACTTATTTGGTAAGTGTATTTGGATGCGTTCTACGCTAGGAGTCATTTTGGTCATTGGGAATTTGAATATTTTCCACAATGCTTCTGGAGCACAAACCCATCTTCCGTCTATGAACTGTTGTATTTCATCATAATTAAGACCTTGACAAACTTCTAGTGCAACACAGTCAGGCCCTTTATAAACATATTTGTATAAATACTTCACACTTGTAACACTACTGCAAATTTCAAGATTGATATAACAATCATATTTCAAGAGCAACCATGGGTTGTACGAAATGACCTAACTATTATCCACCAAGACGCTTGGATTACTCTCTAAAGGAACTGACTCCCCTTCTCTTCTTCGATAAACAGGATATGAATCGTTTCCCAGTGCAGTAATTGAAGAAAATGGATTTGGGAAACGTCTTTTGCACCGGCCATTTGTCATACACGGGGACCGTTCATTGTACATTCCACATGGGTCATGTATCATGTGTTTCAGAACTACACTGTATAATCTAGGCTCTAATCTCTTGTCTGAATTTCAGCTCTAACAATGTTATCGTAATCGTCAAGAGTGCGTAGCTTACCATTTTCATCCAAAATAATGGCCATATGGGCATGTGGTAAGCCTCTTTTTTGGTACTCAATAACATATGCATATGCTAGAACCTTCCCAAGTACATGTTTTGTAAGAATATCGGTCTTCATCTCATCAAATTTCGAATGAAATATTCTTGTTAGCAAATCAGGACGATCATGTGATGACTGTCCAGGTAGCAACTCAACTTTAATTTCAGGCCAATTTGGATTACAGGTCATTGTAAGGAAAAGATCAGGTTTTCCATACTTTTGGACCAAAGCCATTGCATCTTGATATCGCTGATACATGTCTCGTGGGCTACCAACAAATGACGATGGTAATATTATTCTACGACCAACATTACCTAAACAAATATTTCACAAAAGAAAAAATAATATATATATATATATATGTATGAATATAAACAAACATGTGTACGTGCAAATGTAATACCGTACGTGATAATTTGTACCTCCATAATTTTCACCAGCATATACTGCATGTAGAAGATCTTGATAAAAATCTGCTCGAATGTGATTCTGATGAATACGTATCCATCTTAATTTGTTGGACTCAATCTTCACGTAATTATCTATGACATATTGCTGTAAGAGGCAATATTTCACAAAAGAAAAAATAATATATATATATATATATGTATGAATATAAACAAACATGTGTACGTGCAAATGTAATACCGTACGTGATAATTTGTACCTCCATAATTTTCACCAGCATATACTGCATGTAGAAGATCTTGATAAAAATCTGCTCGAATGTGATTATGATGAATACGAATCCATCTTAATTTGTTGGACTCAATCTTCACGTAATTATCTACGACATATTGCTGTAAGAGGCGACCTCCTCGAAGAAAAAGAGATTGATCACCAAGACGAATCTGAATTGACAGTATTTGAATACTTATAAATAATTAAAAGTGAAGATTTTATACTAAATAACTATAGATTAAATAATTTCGACGAAGTAATTTTTTAATATTATGTGTACGTCATTACCTGTAGCATATAAGAATAGAAATCACAACATGTTACTTTTTTGCCATCATTACTTCTGGCATTTGCATCTCATTCATATGAACCATAGGGTAACTGTGACAACCCTCACCACTGTTTACTGATAATACCACTGATTACTGATAAACTGTGACTGAACATGATTAAGTAACTGATTTGACTGACATTCTGAATTGATTGATTGAGTATATTAGTTTAAACGCATTTCTATCTGTTTGACTGTTAATTGATTTGTTCATGTTTTAAGTGTCAAACTGTGAATTGAAGGCCTTATCGGCGGCCGAATTTGAAATTGATTAGTGTTTCATGTTAATTAGAATTTATGTGATTTTATGGTAGATTGATTGAAATGTGATCTATAATGATTAAATTAGATTAAATAATGGTAAATTACATTAGTTGGCTTATTTACCAAAATGCCATAGAAGTGGGCCACTTTGTTAAGTCTTGTTAGAGCTTATGTGTTGCATCATTTTGTTTATTCTTGAGACCAAAATCGATTGAGAGAGGGAGAGTAGGAGGAAAGACTTGAGTTCATCAAATTGGCTTGGAGAATTAGAAATTTGGAGGATAATTGCACAAATTGAGCTTCCATTCTTGAAATTGAGGACCTAAGGTAGGAGAATCATCTTCTTGAACTTGTATTTAAGTTGTATCTTGCATGTTCCCTGGAAGTTTGGTGATTAGAGTCTAGAATTGGTTCTAAATGTTGAATTGAAGCTTAAATCATGCATGCATGTACATGTTCTAGCATTTTGAGGTTGTTTTCATGGAAATTGCTACATGCATGTCCATATCTTGATTATAGTTCATGAATTCATCATGTTTTTGGAAGTTTTGACTCATTTGATTATGTATTAGAAGCTTTGAAGTTGATCAAAATCATGCATGTTGCATGTTCATCATGTTCTTGATGTTTATTTGAAAATGGTGTTCAATTGACTTACCTTTGGGCTTTGATTTTGCAAATTGATCTTTGAAACATATCATAATATGAGTTTTAAAGTGTTTTCCAGAAAATTAGTCCAAAAGGATCGAATTTGATGCTTCAAATATAAGTTTCATGCTTGGAGACAAATCTGAAAATTCCAGATTTTGGATCCATGCTCGAGCGAGGAACTTCACGCTCGAGCGTACACTCTGAGTTCATGCAGTCCGCTCGAGTGAGTAAAGTAACGCTCGAGCGTGAAATGCGTGTATCTAGTACTCTCTATGCGTTTACAGTCCGTTCGAGCGAGAGAATGCACGCTCGAGTGAGGACTTGTGTCTCACGCTCGAGCGGGGGTCGAGCGCCCGTCGAGCGTGAATTTCGTGCATCTAGTACTTTTGCAGTCCGCTCGAGCGAGGAAAGTCACGCTCGAGCGGAGCTCCTTTATCTGCATGCCCGCTCGAGCGTAGAAAGCCACGCTCGAGCGAGACCCCTGTTTTCTGAAAATTTTGAAAGTGTTTTAAAGTACATCTTTGCATCCTCATTTCATCTAGGCCTAGTGTTAAGGCATCTTAATGAGGATATTGATGTAGAACCATACCGAGTCAAGATAAGGACTAAGTCATTGATTCCCAAGTGTGTAACTTAGTGTGTGTCGTTCTGTAACTGTGTTAGGTTGGCATCCGAGGACGCTCTAGCCTATCTGTAGCCGAGTGCTCTGTGAGTAACAATGTTGTAAAGATATATTCAATCATGAATATTTTTCTGAATGATCAACTGTACTGTTTTCTGAAATGATATTTCTTACTGAATGAATGTTTGTCCTATTTGCGAACTGTATTCGTGGCATCCATAGCAATTTACTGTTACTGTACTGTACTATACTGCTACTGTCACAGAGATCTCTGTCGGTTCCCATGTTTGGAACCACTACTGTTTACTGATATGATGGCCATCAACTGATTGTTCGGTCTGTTAAGACCTACTGTACTGTTTGCTATTGGATGTACCACTTATGACTATTATGATCGAATAACTGATATACTGTTCAAATGACTGTTTTAAATACTGAAAGGACATTCATTCATAACCTCTTTACGCATATGTTATTCACTGGGTTTTAGCTCACTGTTTATATATATATGTGTGTAGGTGTCCAAGCACCGGATCGGAGCTATGAGCGTTGGGTTAAACTCCCTTTTTGTCGGGCCAACCAACGTGCCTCACTGCGAGGTTCCAAGTGTGTTCAAGCTTAGGCTCTTTGGGGTGTCTCAGTTCACCCTTCTGTCTCTGTTTTGTAATACTGTATAGACTTGTACTGTACTGTTATGGTAGGGATTTGGTCCCTAACCTGAATGCCTGTATATGATATATGTACATACTGCTTTTGTTCCGAATGTGAATGTGTTATGAAAAGTATTTTTGCATACAGACTGTCACAGCTCATTGGACATCTTTCATTTACTGTTTTGGCTTCCGCCAGTCCCTATACTCTGTATTACTGTTATTACTGTTAAGCAGGCCTTCGGTAATCACGGATTACTGGCCGGATTACGGTGCTAAACCCATAGGGGGCGGGTTTGGGTCGTGACAGTAACAACAGAGGATACTGTAATGGATCATAGTATCCGACAATATCAGGAATATTTAGAAGATGACCACTGGTTGATTGGACAATGATATCTCTTGGTTTTAAATTTCTAACTTTTTCGCCACCTACTAAAACGACAACAACTTCAGGAGCAGTATGAAGGTTGTATTGGGGCCTATTACATGGTTGCTCTTTGATTTGAGTCTGCATTCATGTATGTCTGGACGCTGAGCCAATTAGCGAAACGTATGTACAAATGGATTATAAGCATTTAAAATATTCTTTATATTGTCAAGCAAATCCAAGTGCAATTCTTCATTTTCAGGCATTCGATTCTCATTCTCGTGGTCAGTATCATAAACATACAGTTGCAAATATCTCGGTCTGTCGCTAGAATTTGGTAAGAGACTCCCAATCTTATGATATATGGCTCCTTGTGCACGAAACGTGTACACACCTCGAGTTCTTGTTGCTAAGTTTTCATCAACATGAACACCCATTGAAGTGAATGAGAAAACATGATTGTAGGCTTGAATATGTTGTCTGAAATGATGACCCTCCACTGTTTGGTCAGAGAAAAAATCAATCATCTCATTTGGAGCTGTGACTGGTGGCAAAACAATTGTTCCATTATTATAGCACATGGTAGATGTTTCACTGTGGAACAATCTTGCGTTGCAATGTCTACATGTAGTTGGAGCAAGGAATTGCATTCTTTGGAACCTTTCACTTTCATGAAAATTTCTTGCACAATTGTGATACCTCCTATGGATAAATGATCGATTATCTGGAATATCTTCATCACTCAGAGCATCCTGATTGTGGTCGACATGAGGGATATTTCCTATGACAATACATGTATGATGTATTAGTTTATTAGTAACACAATAGTATTTATTTGAAAGTGTTTGAGTTGCATGTTCAATATTAAATGTAATTGTATTGCATATCATATTTGCATGTTCATCTTTTTAAAATTTATTGTAAAGGTTGTTTGTTTTGTAAAAGTACTTAAACTAAACAATTTATTTTTACCTTCCATCTGAACTTCGCAAGGATCGTCGTATCTGTTGCCACTTGTGTTTCCATGCTCATAAGTCGAATGAGTAGGTGCATATCGGGGTAAGTCGATATGTGAGGGTAGAGTTGTAACGACCCCAAAATCCGTATCCGAAATTACTTTTATGTCTTTGTGGGTTAATGCATTTTAATTTAATGATATCTGTTCAATTGAGGAAATTATCTGTTGAGTCACGGCTTTAAAATTGAATTACCGACCTTTACGGATCCAGAAATCAAAATTGAGTATTTAGGTATGTTAATGGGAACTTTTAGAACTACTTGGGAAAATTAATTAGAAATCCAATTGGTATGATTCGTTAATGTGCGTTTGGATGATTAACTTTATATTATAAATTGAGGGCCTTAGAAGCTTCGGAACTCGGAACAGAGGACATATTTTAGATCAGCATAATTTTTAGAGTCATCTAGAAAATTTAATTGAAATTTAATTTTACGCGATTCGTAAGGGCGTGTTTGGCCTCCCTATTGTGAAAAGCTTATGTGTTTGATATATATATATGTGTGTGTGTGTGTGTGTGTATGTTAAGTGAGTTGGAACTTATCATTTTTGGAGCCAACAAATATCTGAGGGAGAGAGAGAACTGGGAGAAGAGAGGGCAAAGGAGGCAGATAGCTCACCACTCATGGAAGCTTAAAGAAGAGGAAGGAGATTGACCATGGAAATTTGGGGAAAAACATGGATTTGGGTTAAGGTATGTGACTTTGATTTCATCCTTGTGGATAACTCATCTACCACAAAGAATCAAGGATTAAATGGAAGATTTTATATGGAAATAAATTAGAGTTGCTTGATTGAAGAGTAAAGTTGTTATATTTGCTCATCTTGTGGTTAATTATATATATAATTGAAGATATATGTGAATATGGGGGACGTCTTGGGAAAGAAAGCAATGAAGAGATTGATTTCCCTACTTAAAGATTCATTGTATCTTTGATGTTTTAATTTAGAAAACAATCATAATCCCATGTATTTCATTAGTTTTACATGTTTTTGAATGATTTAAGTTGAAAACAAGCTTTGGAAAATGAAAGAATCAAGTGTTGGAGCAAGAAAAATCCATTTTTGGATTGTTTGTTTTTGCCCAGACCGCACGAGTGGAGCATGGAAAAAAAAAGAGGTTTTGATTTTGCTTTTGGGCGCTTGAGCGGCCGGGTTCTTCCGCTCAAGCGGAATTGGGCCGCACGAGCGGCCAAAGTGGGCGCACAAGCGGCCGGCTCTGTTTCAGCTTTTACCTTGTAACTTTGAACAAGAATATCTTTTGCATTCGGACTCCGTTTTGAGTGGTTCTTGAGCCTAAAATCAAGCTCCGAAAGTATACTTTCCAATGGAAGTGGTATCACTCCCAAATTCTAAATACATAAATAGTTATGCCCAAATTAGTGATGACTATTTACTTTCTGTCAACCAGTTTTGTACCATTTCTTCACCTAAACCATTTTCCACCAATTTCTCCTGTTTTCTGAGACATGGATTATAACTTAGTAAGGAATAATAAGCTTGGTACCACCATGGCTAATTGATTGAATGATCAAAGAGAATAAGTAAAGGATCGAGTCTAATCTCATATTATGTGCCGTGCACTGTACTTGTAAGTCGAGACGAGGACATCATCCTATTACTACCGGGAGCTGATCACTGTGAGTCGTAGTACGGTAGTCATACGTTCAATTATCGTTAATGATTTTTATCGTTAATATGCTGTTCCTTGCAAGTAATTAAGTTAATAATGTGTTGATTGGAAAATCTAGAGGCATTATTGAGCGGTATTACTGTTGACAAAGAAGACTAACGTTCTGTTATTTACAAGATAGCTATAGTGATTCCTGATGAACAAAGGGAACGTATAAGCACTATGGAACCATGGTATTCACGTATCTCTGAACTCATTCAATCTGTAAATGTGCTTATCTCTCATTAATAATTATCAGTAAGGAATAATGAGCTTGGTACCACCATGGCTAATTGATTGAACGATCAAAAAGAATAAGTAAAGGATTGAGTATAATCTCATATTATGTGTTGTGCACTGTACTTGTAGGTCGAGACGAGGACATCGTCCTATTATTACCGGGAGCTGATCACTGTGAGTCGTAGTACGGTAGTCGTACGTTCAATTATCGTTAATGATTTTTATCATTAATATGCTGTTCCTTGCAAGTAATTAAGTTAACAATGTGTTGATTGGAAAATCTAGAGGCATTATTGAGCGGTATTACTGTTGACAAAGAAGACTAACGTTCTGTTATTTGCAAGATAGTTATAGTGATTCCTGATGAACAAAGGGAACGTATAAGCACTATGGAACCATGGTATTCACGTATCTCTGAACTCATTCAATCTGTAAATGTGCTTATCTCTCATTAATAATTATCAGGAATGTCCTGTTAAACTTAAGTTAACTATGTTAACTCATATGAATGATGTAACGGCTACCATTAGTACTCTGTTAAGTACAAGTCAACTATGGTAACATATATGAACGATCAAACAAAGGTGTATGCTTCTATATGCTATTAATAGATCAAGTGAACTACGTCATTTCTTAATGAATAATTAGTTAAGACCACGGATTGTTTTATATGTTAATACCTACTAAGCATTATGATAAACAACGGATTGATTTACGGATGACTCAACCTGAAGACAGAATTAAATATCAATGGCCTTGTCATGTGACTCACGTTATGATGTAAACTGTTCTGTCTTTGTTAAGTGTACTGTAATGACATGATATAACAAGAAATGCTCTATGTTCTGATATGTTACGTTTTGACTTAATGAACAGCTGTCCATATATGTAAAGTACTCATGACATCCGTAGCACACGGCCCTTACTCGGTGGTAATAATACCGTGGTTCAAGGATGTTACAAGTTTACATATGTTACAAGTTCAAGTATGCACAAGTTTAGGTATGTTACAAGTTCATGTATGTTATAAGTTCTCAGTATCGGGAGATTCCTTTATGGAACTAACAAGGATGCTTTATATTGATTTGTTAGCGCTAGCGAAGTGCCAAGTATAATCAAGTATGAATTCTGATTTCTGTTTATGATTCAAGTATAATGCATATGTATAAATTTGTTTCCGTTTATGGTTTGACATGATATGTATGGTTTGGTCTGTAAGACCTATTAATTTCTGGTATGGAACAAAGTGCTACTTGGAACTAAGTGCTACATTGTGAGCCACCTCTAGAGTCCATGTGAGACACCTCTCGAATCCATGCATATATGAACTAGGCTTAAAGCCAATCTGGGCCAATGGCCATTCTATATGATCTATTAGGCCAAAGGCCATTCTGTATTTTTGGTATGGAGCAACGTGATGTACGGAACTAAGTGCTGCAGTGCGAGTTACCTCTAGAATCCGTACGAGCCACCTCTTGAGTCCATACATATGTGAAAGTTATGAGGCTGAAAGCTGTTCTGTGAAAGTTATGAGGCCTATGGCCATTTTGTATGATCTGTAAGATCTGTTAGTATGAAACAAAGTGTTGTACGGAACTAAGTACTGCAATGCGAGTCACCTCTAGAATCCGTGCGAGCCACCTCTTGAGTGTATACACACAAGTTCAATGGCTCAATGCCAACACGTTCAAGGGCTTAATGCCAATATGTTCAAGGGCCTAGTGCCACTCTGTTCAAGGGCTTAAAGCCATTATGTTTCAAGATGTTATGTTTTAAGTCATTATGTTTCAAGACTGGGCCTAAGGCCGTTATGAAATTAGTGCAGAATCAATTAACCTTATGCCCTCTTTATTTATGTATGCATTGATATGTATTATACTTCAAGTTGAGCATTGAATCATTTATGTACTATTATTCACTGAGCTTCGCTCACTTTGTATTATGTCTGTTTGTAGGTAATTACTTTGGAAGTCTGTCTTAACCCTTGATGCTCACCTTTCATTTGTCAACCTTAGTATGCCCAGACTCCCAGACCAAACCCATGCATTTATGTGAAGTTTTGTTAAGATTTTGGCTTGCACTTTAATTATTTACTTAAGGTTAAAATGTATGTATATACCCCCTTTTTTACCAATGTTCGGATATATGCTCATTTATATGTATGGGTATGTTTATAGATAAATGGCTCTCACGTATGTGATCCTGGCATGTTAGTTTTAGCTCAATGGATGTTATTCTATGTTACTTTGTAATATTAAATGCTTCCGTTCAGGCCCCATATATTATGTATATCAGGTTATGTGTCCGTATCTGCATAGGTCATGCCCGAACTTTTAGGGGCGAGTTTGGGTTGTGACAAGTGGTATCAGAGCACGAGTTGCTATCTCACACACGAATCCATTGTGCTTTAGGATGTCTAGAAAGACGTAGGCATCATGCATAATATTCTGAAAGTACATGAAAAGATTGATGGCAATGTTAAATGTATATGTTCTACCTGCTAACTCTGATGATTATGATCTATGTCTGTTGTATAGTCTTTTATTACCACTGTTTATCTTACATAGATTGGTGAACAATGTAAGACATGCAGATGGGATTAAATCAACAATAGTGCACTGCGGAAGCGTGGTAAGGATTTGAGCTGACCGGTAAGACAGTTTAAATGTAAATGATGTATGGGTATGTATATAGATAAATGGCTCTCACGTATGTGATCCTGGCATGTTAGTTTTAGCTCAATGGATGTTATTCTATGTTACTTTGTAATATTAAATGCTTCCGTTCAGGCCCCATATATTATGTATATCAGGTTATGTGTCCGTATCTGCATAGGTCATGCCCGAACTTTTAGGGGCGAGTTTGGGTTGTGACAAGTGGTATCAGAGCACGAGTTGCTATCTCACACACGAATCCATTGTGCTTTAGGATGTCTAGAAAGACTTAGGCATCATGCATAATATTCTGAAAGTACATGAAAAGATTGATGGCAATGTTAAATGTATATGTTCTACCTGCTAACTCTGATGATTATGATCTATGTCTGTTGTATAGTCTTTTATTACCACTGTTTAGCTTACATAGATTGGTGAACAATGTAAGACATGCAGATGGGATTAAATCAACAATAGTGCACTGCGGAAGCGTGGTAAGGATTTGAGCTGACCGGTAAGACAGTTTAAATGTAAATGATTAGATGAAATGTGTGTTATCGGTTGTTAGTCATTTGTGGGAAATGATGACGATATAATTGGGCTTTTTAGCATCTATTTAAGTGAAGTGATTAAGCTCTAAGTATGGAATATTTCTAAGATTAAAGGAAATGCTATATGTGATACTCTAACTTTATGTTATAGTTATGTCTTCCTTACCATAACGATGTTTAGATCTGTGAGTTTGAGAAATTACTATATTTGAATATTTTGATAAGATGTGTTTTGCGTAATAATTGAAATTGTGTTAAGTAGGACAGGTTGTAAGAAGACGTCATGCATATAGTGACCCCTCTTAAAATTGTGAAAGGAACCAATTAATTATGGTTTAAATAGATAAGCTATGCTGGGTAATTGGTTATTAACCTTGAAACAGTATGTAAGTAATATGATTTCGTGAACTAAGAAAATTATCGACGACTTTTGATAAGGAATTATTGATGGTGTCTAATAAGTATTGTTTATGTGTAATCGGGATTTGATTGCAGGAATCTGTACTCTGTACTCTGACCTCTGTACTATGTAATCTGAAATCTGAAATTTGTAACCTGTAATATGTTTTGTTTACGTATAATCTGTATTCTGTAATTGGGACTTCTTATAAGGAATAATCGAATAACATGAAGAACCCCGCCTAGAATACGTGTTTGCTAATATGGCACCCATTAAAAAAAAAAAAAAGATAGGTAGTTATTGACTACCTTGAGATCAAATTAAATGATTGAGATCTGATAATTTACCGCAAGAACAAAAACCCCACCTACGTGTACTAATGACTCAAGATTGAGAAATCATCTTTCTGATATATGTTTGTGTAGATATGTAAATGTTGGATATTGTAAATTAATCCTTTATTGCCTATTTGAAGGCTATAATGTAAACTGTTCTGCATGACACTGTGAATTTTGACAGAAACAAATGGTTATGGGGATAATCCATAATGATGAGGGGTTAGCAGTACATATTGGGTATTCACTTCCTCTTTCATGTTCATACAGATTTGTATAATACGCACTACATGGTACCGAATTGATTTGCTATCATGTTGAACTAATTTTGCCAAGAATTCTAACTCTGATACTAGTTGGTTAAATCACGTTATCGTTCTACTGCTGACTTTCTAGATATTATGGAACCCAAATGGATGTGATTACTGTATACTAAATGAAATTATGACCCTACGAATGAATTTGGTAGGAATAATGTACACGAAGTGACTGGACACTCTGCCCGTGTTAATTGACGAGACCGGATGACTGGTCTATAATTTTTGTATGGGTGTTTGCTAACCCACTGTAATTATAAATTGTGAATACAAACCATGTGGTTGATGTTGTACCCTACAGTAGGAAGAGAAAGCATTAACTGAATTGTGGAATACTGAGATGATTAAAAAGAGGTTAAATTAATTTGTAATACTTGTTGAGAGAGGATGTGCATCTTATTGTTATGACTGATTAATTAAACATGATTTTAAATTCAATTTCTGCCCTTATCTTTGGAAGGCTTCCTTTGCTTGAAAAGATAGTTGTTATACTTGTTTCTATTGCTCGGATCCGAACTTATGATGATATGACTAAGTGTCAATCATGGCACACCTGCATGAATTAACAAAAGTATATGCTACTTGTTTTGGAGCCTGTTAGAAATCTGATTCGAACTGATAAGTCTAATTCTGATTACTGAGCAAAGAGCCACAAAGTCGTTGATTTAGGACTTGTTTGTTATTCTGGGTTTAATCGTTGAAAGATGTATGTACCTTTGAAACATGATTAAGTAGTGAATGTTTCCTCAACCTTTAAGGACTTACGATAGTTGGGGTCGTATGTGAACCTAAAGAGGTTGAACTGTGTTTGATAGCTTATGAGTCACATGTAAGCGAATACTTGAAGTGAATCCATTTCTGAATACCCTTAAGTTGTTATATTATTTGGAAGGAATGATTTGGGGATCAATAAATTGAAATGTATGAGGGTTGTGAACAATGAGATAATGTTTTGATGCTATTGAGTACTATTATCATTTGGGCTACCAATTAGCCAGTAAAGAGGAATTACTTGTGATTCTGGAAGCAAATTCCATTGAAATTGACTGTATAAGATTACGAATGACTAAATAATTGAGAATTGTTGCCTACCTAAGACATCACTTGACTTGTGGCAGGATAAATCAAGAGCCACAAAGTCGTTGATTTAGGACTTGTTTGTTATTCTGGGTTTAATCGTTGAAAGATGTATGTGCCTTTGAAACATGATTAAGTAGTGAATGTTTCCTCAACCTTTGAGGACTTATCATAGTTGGGGTCGTGTGTGAACCTAAAGAGTTTGAACTGTGTTTGATAGCTTATGAGTCACATGTAAGCGAATACTTGAAGTGAATCCATTTCTGAATACCCTTAAGTTGTTATATTATTTGGAAGGAATGATTTGGGGATCAATAAATTGAAATGTATGAGGGTTGTGAACAATGAGATAATGCTTTGATGCTATTGAGTACTATTATCATTTGGGCTACCAATTAGCCAGTAAAGAGGAATTACTTGTGATTTTGGAAGCAAATTCCATTAAAATTGACTGTATAAGATTACGAATGACTAAATAATTGAGAATTGTTGCCTACCTAAGACATCACTTGACTTGTGGCAGGATAAATCAAGTTTGGAGGACCAAACTTCTTAAGGTGGGGAGAATGTAACGACTCCAAAATTCATATCCGAAATTACTTTTATGTCCTTGTGGGTTAATGCATTTTAATTTAATGATATCTGTTCAATTGAGGAAATTATCTGTTGAGTCACGGCTTTAAAATTGAATTACCGACCTTTACGGATCCATAAATCAAAATTGAGTATTTGGGTATGTTAATGGGACCTTTTAGAACTACTTGGGAAAATTAATTGGAAATCTAATTTGTCTGATTCGTTAATGTGCGTTTGGATGATTAACTTTATACTATAAATTGAGGACCTTAGAAGCTTCAGAACCCGGAACAGAGGACATATTTCAGATCAGCATAATTTTTAGAGTCATCTAGAAAATTTAATTGAAATTTAATTTTACGCGATTCGTAAGGGCGTGTTTGGTTATATATATATGTGCGTGTATGTTAAGTGAGTTGGAACTTATCATTTTTGGAGCCAACAAATATTTGAGAGAGAACCAGGAGAAGAGAGGGCAAAGGAGGCAGAGAGCTCACCACTCATGGAAGCTTAAAGAAGAGGAAGGAGATTGACCATGGAAATTTGGGGGAAAACGTGGATTTGGGTTAAGGTATGTGACTTTGATTTCATCCTTGTGGATAACTCATCTACCACAAAGAATCAAGGATTAAATGGAAGATATTATATGGAAATAAATTAGAGTTGCTTGATTGAAGAGTAAAGTTGTTATATTTGCTCATCTTGTGGTTAATTATATATATAATTGAAGATATATGTGAATATGGAGGAAGTCTTGGGAAAGAAAGCAATGAAGAGATTGATTTCCCTACTTGAAGATTCATTGTATCTTTGATGTTTTAATTTAGAAAACAATCATAATCCCATGTATTTCATTAGTGTACGGGAAAGAAATACACCTTCTCGTATAATCCTGTTGACTAAGTCCGCGCTCCTCCGTACGACGTCGCTTTGTCACCTAAAAGCACAAATGTGAGCTAACCGGCGGGTGTGTGCCGGAAACCTCTCCGATGCCTAAGTCAGTAAACTTGACAAATAGACAAAGCTCAATGTATTCAGAAAGCGAAATTGTGTGTTGTGTTACCTCCTCCAAAGTGATGTTTGTGAGCTTTTATAGGTTTCGAGTGGCACAATCCTAGTAGAACTTCTACTTCTCCATGCAGAGTCCTCCTAGGATTCATACTTCTAAAGGATAATGCTTATCCTTTTACACCCCCCCCACTGCTTAAACCAAGTGGGATGGTTTTTACCATGGCCGAACTACCATTTGACCGAAGTACTCACGGTTATGTATAGCTGCAGAACAAGCCGAACTAGTTCTTCCTTTCACTTCTCTTACATCGGCTTCTCATGCACAGCACATGGCATGGTTGGACCGAACTAACAAATCGCGACCAGTATAACTCCAAGGCCGGTCTAACTCAAAGGTACCGCTAGACCGCTCTATTCAGAATACATCATGACTGGACTAACTCTGAGACCGGCCTAGCTCCAAATTGCCCGGACCGAAGTAGCTTTACAATTCTTGAGCCGAAGTAACTTTTCGGCCTTTTTACCCAGTCCTTCGCACTGTGGGCCATAAAGTCCTTCTCATAGCTCGGCCCAATTTTCACTAAAATTACCCTCTCAATTGCCCCTTAATTCCATCTGCATAGCATAATAGGGATTATCTGTTCATTTAGCCGAGCTATAGTCCTCAAACCTTCCAGCCGAGCTACAACCGTTTAGCTTATCCTGCCAAGCTAAACTTAAACCGAGCCACTCTCATCCGGTCATAATGTCTTTTCAATCACCAAAAACTGAATCGCTTTCTATTCCGTATACACGTGGCACGTTCCCATTCGCGAAAGGCAGCTGTCAACGCCGTCTTCGTATTTTGCAATTTTTGAACAGTTCCCGCCCTTTCTCTCTCTTTCCACAAAACTATCACTCTGCCTATGAATCATTTACCTATTCTATTCATCTTCTTCTCTCTTCGTGCCTCTGCTTCTCCAACCTCTGAGTTCCCTGAGCTCGTGTTCTTTGTTGGTGCTGTTGCTCCCCTCTCCAGCTTCATCTTCTTCTGGTAAGCTTCCAAAAAATCTGTTTTGTTTTTCTTCTTTCTGCTTTTTATGTTTTTGCGAAACATGCGTTTTGATGGGAAAATCAGTTTTTGCGAAAAATCTGTTTTGTTCCATGCGTTTTCTTCTTTCTGCTTCTTCTGGTACATTTTTGTTTTTGCGTCAGTACTTTCATAGGAAAATCAGTAGAACCTATGAGTATATGTTATATATCCTATAGAAAACTCGATTTTGATCCAGAATCATGTCCCAACCGAACTAGGAAACTGTTTGTCCTATGTAGGTAGATCACTTTAGACAATAACCGAACTAGAACTTGTAGAAATAACAGTAGTTTCAGTAGGTTACCAACTCCCGAATCACTCTGGCCGAGATACGTTTACCGAACGAAGTTCTGTACTCAGTAAACTAGGAACCTTGGTATTCAACCAAGCTAGGCCTTGGGGCTAAGCCAGCTTTTTTAGTTTCTAAACCAAACTCAGAAAGCTGCCCCTAGAGGCTCAACCGAAGTAACAAAACTCATAGTTCAACCGATTTAGGCCTTTGGGGCTAAACCAGCTTTCTTAGTTTTTTAGATCGAACTCAGAAAGCTGCCCCTAGACGATGAACCGGTCTAACAAAATTGTTTCCAAAGCCAGTATGCCGAGATGCCTGCCAAGATCTGGCTAATAAGAACCTTGCTCAAACCGAGCTACCAAGCATTTTGCTGAATCGAGATAGAAAATGTCCACAAAACCGAAGTAGGGCTCTTTTACCTTGCTTTTAATTTGTAGCACGGTCCTATGATCTGTGCTTAACCCCTTTGTTTTCTACTTTACAGACTTAGGTTGCCCAAGCACTCCTTCGTGCGCTCAACCGAGCTACTGAGCACAATTTTTGCACCGATATAACTTATTCGTAAATTATACAACAAATGGCTAAGTATAGGTATCTAGTGAATACTTCGGGCGGCCTAGCCGAATTCAGAAAAAACTACAATATACCCGATGACGTTCACTTGATCTTAGCCGAAAAAGATGTCATCCCATGGGGTAATGAAGGCTTTGTCCCCTTCACCCTTTTGTCAATTATTGAAACCGGACTGCGATTTCCATTCCAACCTTTAATCTGTGAGTTTCTTAGGCAAACTAGATTATGCCCTACCCAACTATCCACTAATTCATACCACATCATTATGGGAATAGCCGAACTGAACCGCCAAGCCGGACTAAACCTTGGCCTGGCCGAAATCTTCCACCAATACTCCATTGGTTCAAAAGAAGATGGGTGGGTGTATTATCTTAGAATACATCGCCGCCGAGAGAAGATAATAAAATATACTCCGGACAAAGACTTAAACGACGACGATTTTTTTTGGGTGTCTGGGAACTTTGAGGATCATCACGCCCAGATTCCTGGCCGACCTATAAATTGGAAAAAAAGGAGAGCCCGGTAAATTTACTTCGGTCTTCCTGCTTGCATTTTTTTTTTTTTTTATTTCGGTTTTTTAATTTTTTAGCCGGACTAACAGTTGTCTTCTTTCGCAGATTCTGCCCATCTTCACTCTTTATACAACTACCCAAACCTAGCCACTTTGCGCGCCGCACTACGGTATCCTGAACGTAGTTGGGCCAAATTACTGAAGTTCGAGCCGACCTACCGATACAGTGGTCGCCGAAAAGCCAGAGTGACTGATTTTCTTCTTGAAGACGCCCTAGAATCGGACCCAACCTTACCCCAAATCAGACTAATTCCACTCACTGCTGAAGAGGAGATGGCCAAAAAGAACAGAGTAAGGGCTCTTTTGACCGAAACCAACAGGGCCGAAGTACCACCAGTAACTCAAACCCAAGAAACGGTGGTAGCCCTTCCTATTCAACAACCGTCCTCATTCCGCCGAACCAAGCGCGCCCGGACCGCCGAAACCGAACCAAGTTCGGTTGATGAAGAAGAAACTACTCTTCCACCAAGCCTGCCACCGAGCCCCCAACCGGAGCCTTCTGACCGAACTACTACTTGCTAGGTACCAAAACTTACCTTCAATAACCGAGATATCCAGGATTCTGATTCGGTTGTTGCTAAGAAGGATCACCAGTTGGCCTTTAACCTGGCCAAGAGTGTGTGCCTCCCCGAAGACATGGAGCACCACCAAAAGCAACTAAACACCGAACTGAAGGCCATCCGGTCTTCAACAAAGTCGATGATTCTGGTAAGTAACTTCGGCCGTTTTTCTGTCTACTTTTTTTTTCAACTTTTACTTCGGCTAAAGGGAAATCTCTGTTTTGTCAGGCCATTCAGAAAAACCACATTACTCATAGGAAAGTGCTAGAGCTCAGAAAAACAACAAGGCAAGCCGTGGCAGAAGCCGAAGTGAAGTCGGCCGAGCTAGAAGAGGCCAGAAAGCAAATGGCCGAGCTACAAGCTGAGAACGGCAGACTGACCGGACTGGTTAGTTCGGCCGAAGCAGAAAAGCAGAAGGCTGCCATTGCTCTAAAGGACAAGTACCTGCGCGAGTTGGTGAAGTTTGAAAAGAAGAAAGATACCGAAATATCCCAACTAAAGGAGAGCGCAAAAGGTGCCGAAAAGCAAGGCTTCAAGAAGGCAGAGGATGCTTATATTAAACAGTGCGAAGCTGCCAAGGAACTGTTCTTCAAGTGCGGCTGGAGGGCAGCTGTTGAGAAGCTCGGTCATGATCCACAGACCGAGGTTTTCAACCCTCCAGCCTACTTCATATCGAACTCCCTTGTGGAGTATGCTAATGCCATGCAACAGCAGTTTCTTGAAGGCTCAGACTCTGATGAAGACTCTGCCTCTGAGGATACTCCGGTTGTCAATGTGGATCAGACAGTTCGGTTGGAGCCCATGGTGGAAGACCTGACTATTGAACTTCCAGGGGAAATCGTGGTTCCGACCGAAACCACCCTTGCGACCGTGAGCGAGCTCCCATCTGAAACCGGTCTTCGTGTTGATGCCGATGCAGCTTTTGATGCCGAAATTGAAGACATTTTTTCTTGATTTTATACTTTTTCTCTTTTTTGTTACCTTTTGTCTTTGTAACCGGGCTATGCCCCTCTGTAATTGCTTTTCATTGAATGAAAATTTTGCTTGAACTCTTATTCCGGTTTTGATTTGTATGCTTGCTCTTGATCTTTTCATGTCCAACGTTTATCTCGGTTTTTGCTTGTTCGAACTAACTTATGCTTACCAGCCAACCACTCCCTAGCTGACATAATTACTTCCGCTAAGGAGTACACAGATTTGGTTTAATCCAGCCAACCACTCTTCGGCCATATCCTTACTTCGACTGAAGAGTGCAAAGAGTTGGTTTAATCCAGCCAACCACTTTTCAGCCATACCCTTACTTCGGCTGAAGAGTACAAAGAGTTGGTTTAATCCAGCCAACCACTTTTCAGCCATACCCTTACTTCGGCTGAAAAGTACAAAGAGTTGGTTTAATCCAGCCAACCACTCTTCAGCCTTACACTTTGGCTGAAGAGTAAAAAGTTGGTTTATTCCAGCCAACCTCTAAGTTAGTTTTTCCAGCCAACTTAGAATAAAGTGTTTGGTTATTCCGACCAAACGTCATGCAGCCTGGATCCTTATCCTGGGCTTAGGAGGGGTGTTGGTTTATTCCAGCCAACCACTCTTCAGCCTCACACTTACTTTGGCTGAAGAGTAACAGGAGTTGGTTTATTCCAGTCAACCACTCTTCAGTCTTACACTTACTTTGGCTGAAAAGTAAAAAGTTGGTTTATTCCAGCCAACCTCTAAGTTAGTTTTTCCAGCCAATCTTAGAATAAAGTGTTTGGTTATTCCGACCAAACGTCCTGCAGCCTGGATCCTTATCTTGGGCTTAGGAGGGGTGTTGGTTTATTCCAGCTAACCTCTAAGTTAGTTTTTCTAGCTAACTTAGAATAATATCTAAGTTAGTTTTTCCAGCTAACTTAGAATAATATGTTTGCAATGTTCCTAAACTTCACTAAAGCTAACTTTTATAGAGAACAGCTTATGCTGAAAAGAATCGCTTGTCTTATTGAGGAAATAAAAAATTACATATGTTTGAAAGAGAAAAAGCTAAAAATAAAACAACTTGAGATTGGCCGTGTTCCATGGCCTAGGGATTGCTTTGCTGTCCTTGTCTTCTAGGTGGTATGCCCCTTTGCCTGCTAACCTAACCACTTTATAAAGACCTTCCCAGTTTGGCCCTAACTTGCCATCCCTGTACCAAGGTGTTTCCCATTACTTTGCGCAGTACCCAATCGCCGATCTTGAATTGTCTTGATGCACCTTTTTGTTGTATTTTCTAATTAACTCTCGTTGGTATGAGGCAATGTGAACCAGTGCTCTTTCTCTCTTTCTTCCGCAAGGTTGAGTTCTAAGTTATGGCTTCTCCATTTAAGTCTGGATCAAAATTTTCGCTTTGAATTGTGGGGAGGCCAACTTCCAGTGGGATTACTGCTTCCATTCCATAGGCTAAGGAGAATGGTGTCTCTCCTGTTGATCGTCGAGGTGTGGTGTGGTAAGCCCATAAAACATGAGGAATTCGTCCGTCCACTTGCCTTTTGCCTTCTCTAACCTTTTCTTCAGTCCATCCAAGACGACTCTATTTGATGCTTCTGCTTGGCCATTTGCTTGAGGATATGCCGGTGTAGAATTGTAGAACTCTATCTTGTATTCTTCACAAAAGCCTCTAAAGATTTTGCCGTCGAACTGAGTGCCATTGTCTGAAATTAACGCTTTTGGTATGCCAAACCAAGTGATGATATTCTGCCAAACGAACTTCTTCACATCTTTTTCTTTGATTGATGCCAATGCTTCTGCTTCTACCCATTTTGTGAAGTAGTCTGTTGCTGCGAGAAAAACTTCCTGTTACCGGGTGCTGTTGGAAGTGGTCCTACTATGTCCAAGCCCCACATTGCGAAAGGCCATGGGCTAGTTAATGGTAGGAGTTCTCTTGCTGGTTGATGTATTTGGTGTGCGAATTTTTGGTATTTCTCACACTTTCTTCACATATTTTTCTGAGTCTGCCTGCATGTATGGCCACCAGTATCCTTGTGAAATGACTCTGTAAGCTAGCGATCTTCCTCCTTGATGGCTTCCGCACACCCCTTCATGTATCTCGTACAAGAATGCTTCTACTTTGCTGGGATGAACACACTTTAGGTAGGGT